AAGTAATAAGCCCTAGAAGACAACATACTACCACCATTTTGCCAGACTGATATCGTATCCAACCTCCTTCTAAATACTTAACCTTATATCCATAGATTTGAGCCACTCTCATCCCTTATCAAAGATGCTTCTTTTTGCAGAAGATGGAGGCTATAACAGAGAGCCACAATTGGCCAAAGTATAGAAACTAAGTGATTGTGGAGTGACCATCCCCAAATGAGACATCTATAACACAACCCCTAAACCCAAAGCTCATGGACTGTGAAGGAAGAGAGGGCAGGAAGGTCATAAGAGTCAGAGGACTGAGAGGACTACTGTGAAACAGTGTCTTCTAGACATAACAGAGATGATGCACCCATGAATTCTCAATAATATAGTTGCCTGGACAAGGACACACTAGTCAACATTCCAAAATGGACAGGGGAAGGGCTCACAAGCACCCCTTCCTCGTACTTGAAGAGCTACTGATAGTCAAGTACTACTGAAATGGGGAGAATCCGTTTTTTAGGGACAAGCCCCATGATAGGGTGCCCATGCCCAAGTAGTCAGCACTGAACCCAAATAGATATGGGTGACACTAAAGGTACACTTTTAATTTTCATTACATTTTATGAATGCAGTCAAGCATTCTTCTTCTATTTCAGCCTTCTGGTTTTTTTCTTCTGTGAACCATCTGTTCTTATCCTTTGCCTAGTTGCAAGTAGTCTTTTAATGATCCTAGGAACTCTCTATATTAGAAAACTTAGTGCTTTGTCTGTGATATGAGTTGTACATATTGCTAGTCACTCTGTAACATTTCTAACATGCCTTTTATGCCCAATAAAAAAAGTCACTACTGTATTATTGGTTTCCCATGCTTCCTGATGGCAAATCCAAAAGCCTTTCTGTGTGCTCATGTTTTTCAGCATTTGACACTGCTGATCCATCTTGTTGATGTTCTTTTTCAACTATATATTTATTTCTGTATTGAGCTCACCTCCTGTTTCTCTGTTGCTTCTCTTATTGTTTCTCTGGAGTTCCTGGGACAGTATCATGGGAAAGGTGAGATCTGTGTACCCTTCTTCAGCAGGGCCAGGGAGAAGCCCAGCTGGAGATCACACTGAAGGCATCCCTGGCACTTTAGGAGAGATGTACAGATAGGTGTTTTACACACATCTAGGGGGGATGTGCACACAAAGCAGCTCAGGCTGCTTCATTGGACTTTTCATGTCTCACATCAAACTCAACAGTCTAAGAACTGCCCCTCTCAACTTCTGTCCTCACTGAGTGTCTGCCAGTCCTGGTAGGTCTGTCTCCCTTTGCCAAGTGCTGCTAGTTCTTCTGTGGAAGTCTCTTCCAGTTCTCTCCTCCTTTGCAGCCCCTCATAATCACATCTTCCTTGATTCTTTAACACTTACCTGCTGCCATCTAGCATATCCATGGTCCCTGTGCTCAGGGAAACTCATTTCTTGCCAAGCACCAGGCCTCCCTCACTCCTTGGCAACAGCTAAAATCCCCAATGTGAATTAAGGAAGTCTGGATCCAAATGAGGCACCATGACAGAAGATACTTTTTTTCAAAGGTAAAAAACAAACCAAAAAAAGGCCACCAAGACTGGGGATGTAACTCAGTTGACAGAAAACATGACCAGCATGCACAAAGCCCTGAGTTCCATCTCCCATACTACATAAAATCAGGAGTGTTGGTGAATGCCTGTAAATCCAGCACTCCAGAGATGGAGGCAAAGAAATGCAAAGGTCAAGCTCATCCTCAGCTACATTTGGGGTTCCAGGTCAGCCTGGACTGTATAAGATTCTGAACTCTCTCACCCCACCCAAAAAGGGTAAAAAGGCCTTCCGTTTTCACTTACGTATGCATATGTACACACATTTTATTTATTCCTTTGGAAACATCAGTGTTTGGGGGGAAGTGTTTGCCATTGTTTCTTTTATTTGTTGTTGACTTAACTTCCAGCCCTTGGGACTGCACTTTCATTCACTCTCCCAGCTCCTCTGCTTCAAGCCCCTCTGCCTGGGTTCCACTGTTGAGTTTATACCCATCTCCTAGAGGGGCCAGAAGCAAGAAGCCATCTCCTAGAAAAAAAACCATCCCCAAGAGGCTCTAGCTCCAGGTGGCATCCAGCAGTGTCCAGCCAGTGAAAAGGTATCCTACCCCTAGCACTTAGGCCAGGTCCCCTATCTCCTGGCACCATCCTGCTCTCAGTCCTCTTCCATCAGCACCCTCAGGAAATGACCTCCAGCTCATGTATAGCAAAGTCCTCTGATGCTCTAAGAGATACTTGCGTAAGTAGCTGTCCAGACAAGCTAGACTGCCTGCTGAGAACACACCCACTCTTACACCCTTAAATGTATCAGGTGTGACTTGGAGGCTTTGGAATGGAAATGCAGGACAAGCTCTGGCTGCTGCTCCAGGGGAGGGAGGGAGAAGGGAGGAGAGAGGTGAGGTCCTGGAAGGGGTGGGGATCATAGGGTTGGGCTGGCCTGAGCGGGACGCTGTGCTGGTGTGCCCAGGTCTTTGGGACAGCAGAACAGAGCCCAGGACACGCGCGGGACTCCCAAGGGTCTTGTTCCTTCAGCCTCAGCCATGGCAGAGAACTCAGACAAGGTTCCTATCACCATGGTGGGGCCTGACGACATGGAGTTTTGCAGTCCTCCAGTGAGTACCTCTGGGATGCCCAGTCCTGCTGAGGAGGGAGTGCACAGGCAGGCCCAAGCTTTGTGTGGGTGCCCCATCCCACTCCTGGGACCAGGGATTTGTGCCGTTGTGTTGTGGTGAGGGAGTCAAATGAGGGAGCCCAAAGGCCCAAAGTGTGCATGGGGTGGCAGGGGGCATGGGATTCACACTCGGTGGGGAAGGGGCCTCTTGGGCCCTTGGAGGTGGAGGTCCGCAGGGCCAGGCCCTGCACCTGGAGAAGTCTGCTCTGGCACTTACAGGGCTGCGAACAGGGGGACCCTCTGGAGGGAACACGAAAGGGGGCGTCTGAAGGAGTCCAGTGGTGAGCAGCTTCCCACCCTGGTTCCCGGGCTCCCTGGGGGCAAAGGGACAGAGACTGCAGTGGCGCGGTGGTGACCCGTCCCTCTCCGCCCGGGTCCGCAGGCGTACGCCACCGTGACGGTGAGACCCTCCAGCCCTGCGCGGTTGCTCAAGGTCGGAGCGGTGATCCTCATTTCGGGGGCGGTGCTGTTGCTCTTCGGAGCTATAGGGGCCTTCTACTTCTGGAAGGGGAATGACAACCATGTAAGTCCAAGCGGTGGCTGGGGGGCGGGGGGGGCGCATTGGATGCGTGGGGCCATGAGGTGCGCGGGTGGTGGGGTCCTCTCCACCCGGGCTCTCCCTAGGTAGAGTCAGAGCGCTGTCCGCCTATGGGCACGTCTGCCGGGCTGTCCCGGTGGCCACAGCTTGCTCCTTCGGCTTGGTCCACTGGGAACGCCTCCTTTCTTCTAGCTCGGCTGTGCTGCTTTTCCACTCCCAGGCAACGCTAGGTAGGTAAGTCAGGGTTTCAAGAACGAATTCTGAAAGGGAGCAATGGTGGAGAATGCCTCTGCACTGGGAGAAAATCCACTTGGCCCAGAGGGGCCAGTCCCAGCTGACAAAAGCTATGCATTTGAACAGACAAAGGGAGAGGAAGACTATTCAGACCCACTGCCAGGGGTAAATCTGTAACTTTGAGGAAAGTTTTTGTGTATGTGACCCATTTATTCAGAGTGCCTTCTCTGTTAAAACAAAAAGCCCAACTTCCTTAAAGGTGGCAGATCTCTTCAAGAATCAATTCTGGTCACATGTGATTTAATAGCAAAGGTCTCACTAACTACTATCCTTGCCTTTTTAATACGCAATTAAGTTCCATAGACTCTCACGGAGTATAAAACTGCTTCGATCTTGGGCAGAGTTCCAGTGTGTTCTCTAAGTACCTGAATGTGTCCACCTATGTAAGAGGGGCCTTTTTATCTTGAGGGCTAGTGCCACTTCTGGTAGCTTATTTCAACTAATGGGAAAGAATTCCATCTCCAGGCTGCACACAAAGGGCTCTTTCTTAATCACTGTCCTCCGAGGATCAGTGACTGCTGTTTTTTCCCCCTCTTCCACCATGAAATTCAAAGCATGAACAAATTTCAGTACTTAGAGAAAATGGTGCTGAAAGCAATTCAACCATTTTACACATCACATCTTCTGCAGTCACTGCATAATTTGTATTTTTAACTCAAATGCCTAATGTAGATAAGCATGCCATTTAGCACTGAGTCTGTTTTAGCGACTATATCAAATTTACAAGCGTCAATTTGTAAGATCAAAATTGCACTGTATTTTGTGTGGATTTGAGAAGTGCCTTAATGCATTTGTATTTTAAATATAGAAGCTGGGCCAGATGCTTATATTTGAAAGCAGAAAATATGAACGAGGATGATTTCAATGTCTACAGCTCCATTAGTAGCAGGTTTTACATTGTCACCCTTTGGGAAATTTGATGATATTAGAATGCAAATGCTATCTTTTAGATAACAAAATCTCAATGGTATAAGATCATTTGGGGATTTTAAAAAAAGCCTTACTTTTTAACGGTTTTGTGGGGGGGGGTAAATATTTGGTCATGATATACATAAAAGCAGTCCCATTTGGCATTTGATTATTCATGACAAACATGGCAAGCTGACAAGCTCCTTAGAGGGAACGGACCATTGCACTGAAGCAGCGGCCCCCCTTTATCATATTGTTCACTTCACTGCAAGATGTTTGGTTGTTCTCATTCAAGAGAGCAGTATTAAATTCTAAGAATACACAGGAATAGTGAATCACATTTTATTGCCAACAATCAAAGTTATTGCTATTTCCTACACAAGACAATAAAGAAAATCATGGTAGTTTTTCTTTTAAAAATGTCTAATACTGTTTCATATTATTTAAATCTGAAGAACAAATCACAAAATCTAAATAGAGTAAATTTGGCACTGTCTATGCATGGCACATGCACACATCTGCTTTCTTTGAATACAAATCTAAATCACCCAAACAAAGCATAATCAAAAAAGGTAAGTCTCTGTCAAACAGAACCATCAAACTAATGGATTCCCCTTCTTTGGAGATTACCCATGCCTCTGCTCTTCTACATCAGTTTACAGATGAGAACCAGCTATGTAATTCCTCCCCTCTCCCTTTCATATGAGTAAATCCCTGAGGACAGGTCTGCTCAAATTTAGCTGGAGGCCTAGGAAGCACCAGGTTCTAATAATGAGGAGATCACTGACTGAGCTCAAATATTGAGGCCATTTTTCATCCACGTTATTGTAAATGGAACAAGGCATTGAAATATGGGAAAGTCCCACCAGTGCCAGATAACTGACAGCCCTACCCATTGGATGAGGGGAGGAGACCATTGCTTGAGGCCTTTTTCTTAGACTAATTTTTCTAGACATTTTCCCAAACATTATGTAATTAATCTTATAGAACCTAGGCCTTATTAAAAACTCATTAGCAAATATCCTTGGCTGTAAAAGGCACCATATTGAGCAGAATTTTGGCAAATAATAAACTTCATTGTACACGGGTAGAAATAGCCTTAGGTGCCAACAGCTCCCTGGGCTTAGAGCAGATAATGTAATTGCTGCTCCAGCGGCTCAGCCTCCTGCCTAGCCCAGAGCCCAGGACTTTGGAAACTGCAGATTGCATTCCACCCTCCCCTGCTCCTGCTCCTATCACTTCAGGAGGCTTCTCCTGCAGCCCCTGGGAGGATCATGCAAGATGGGCCAATTCCATAGTCCAAAGAATGTAATCCCTGGCTAGGAAGCCTTTACTGAGGGAAAAAGTGGAAGTGGCAGAGAGTGAAATCAGGACTGGAAAGATCCAAACCAGCCTGGGCTACATAATATAAGCCCAAGGCCAACATGGAATACACAGTGAGACCCTGTCACAAAAAAAGAAAAGAAAAAGGGCAAGGAATTTCTTAAATGTTGCATTGCTTTAGTCTCTGGTTGACTGAGTGAAGGAGAACACTCATGCCAGTCAGAACTCACAGGCCAGCTCCTCCAACAGTCATCATTAACCCATGTGTTACCCAGTGGCTACCCAGGGCAGAACAGTGCCTGCTTTCTTAGCTGGCCTACAGAACCCCCCCCCCAAAAAAAAACAGGCTTCTATAACTGGGCTGGGCTGCTCTGAAGGCTGAGGGGAAAGCAAACTGGTGAGCTCTGCTATATTTCCACCAAGTCAGAGCCCTACAAGTGGTTCCTATGATTGGAGTAAGGAACCGCAGACATTTCAATTTCTAAAAAGAGGGAAGTCAGGTGGGGATGAGAGATGGTTATGCTGACATAGATGCTGGTATTTTTTCTCGTATTGCATGAAGGCTACTGCCTGGAAGGGTGAGGGATAGCAAAGCTATCTCCATATTTCTGATGATAAAATAAAATAGTGCTCTGTGGTCCCGTAATAATAAGTTCTCCAAGTAATGATCCAGTAACAACATATATGATTTCTAGTGTTTATCCATGTAGTAGTAGTCACTCTTCATAATGAGGGAGAAAAATCAGACGTGAATTGGAGAGATACGCAGTTCTGACTGGCTGACCTGGCATGAAATAGAAACTGTCTTTCATCAGCTCTCATTCTTTCCCCTTTGAAGATTTATACATTACGTATATGTGCACGGACACACACATAATTTATATATTAGATTGATGAAAGCTAGACAATGGGTGATAAATTAAGATAGATATCTGAATGGAAGGAAGGAAGGAAGGAAGGAAGGAAGGAAAGAAAGAAAGAAAGAAAGAAAGAAAGAAAGAAAGAAAGAAAGAAAGAAAGAAATCTCGCTGCTAGCCTCACCACACGGAGAAAGATCTGGCAGGACAGCAGCATGCTGTGCAGAAGTAGCATGTGAATTATTTTTAAGACAGTGTGGTGATAAGCTGTCTAAGCTAAGAAAGCCCTTTGGATCATTTAATTTTGTGGAAAAAAAAAATAGGTGATGGGATTTTTCTTGTTAACAAAATCTTACTCAGAAATGCATCTTAACACACATACACATATAGAGATAAGAATCTAGGGTAAATGCACAAGGGAAAAGAGGCCCCCCCAGCCCCACCCACTCCACCCACCCCTCACCTCCTGTCCACATCTGTGAGGTCTCAGATCCCTAGGGGAAAAGATGAAGAACACCTAAGAGGCCCAGCTTCTTCATCCTACACTCCAAGCAACTCCCAAGACCCAGGGATACAAGGGAGCTGTTTTTCTGATTCCTGTGCCACTACTCCCTTGCAATGTCTAGTTCCCTCCCTTCTCCCACACAGGCCACATGTCTTACCATAATAAAATGTCCTACAATATTATATGCCCATCCAATAGGGAAAAGCAATTTCCTTCTAGGCTGGAACAGATGTGCACACTGACCTTGCTCTCTACAAATGCTGCTCTGCATTAGGGGAATCCCAGTCCTGTCTGCAGTCTTCACTATATGCTGCACTCCATATCTAATCTTTTTTTTAATTTTTGTGTATGCACATAATGTCTACATGTGTCTGTGTGTACCTATGTCATGAAATGCCCATGGAGGTCAGAAGAGGGAGCTGGATTCCCCCAGAACTGGAGTTACAGACAACTGTCAGCCACTATGTGGGTGCTGGGAATTGAACTCGGGTCCTCTGCAACGGCTGAACCAACTCTCCAGCCCATCCATATCTAATTTTGACCAATGGATTTAAAAATTACTTTTCAAATGTCACTTTTTCAGCTGAAAGCCCAGTTGACTCTGCCTCATCAATTTCCATTTATCCATCAATGGTTCTCAGTCCAGCTGCAAACAGAATTGAACTTCAGAAGATGAAAGATCATTGCTCAAACCCATCCCCACAGATTTTGATTTGATTGGTCCAGATACAGTACCTGGAACTTCAGTTGCTTCTACTGTGCAGCCAGGATTTAAGTTATTGAGCTATTTAAATCGAAACCAGGTATTCGCAGAGATTTTACTTAGAAAGTATTTTATTAAAATTCACTTTTATTTCATATGTATGAGTGTTTTGCCTGCATGGATGTAAGTGCATCGGTGTTGTACCGTGCCCAGACATCAGAACCCCTGAAGCCAGAATTAAGAACAGTTGTTAGCTGCCATGTGGCTGCTGGGAACTGAACCCAGGTCTTCTGCAAGAACAGCCAGTGCTCTTAACTGCTGAGCCATCTCTGCAGCCCCTTAGAAAGTATTTTTAAGAAATCAGGTTGAGAAGATGGCTCAGTCAGTGAAGTGCTTGCCATGCAAGCATGAAGACCTGAGTTCAATACACCAGAACCCACACTATAATCCCAGCACTAGGGAGGCCAAAGCCAAGGCCGTAGGGCTCAGTGGTCAGCCAGTGTGGCTGAATTAGACAGCTTCAGGTTCACTGAGACACCCTGTTTCAAAAATAGTAAGGTGATGAATGGTCAAGGAAGACACCTAATAGATCTGTCACACACACACATACACACACACACACACACACACACACACAAAGAAATCATTGTATTGAGTATAATATGGATGAAGTCCAGTCTAAAGATAAGCCCTGAATTGCTGAAAAAAGAAAACAACACTAACTCTTATGTTCACTTCTAGATTTACAATGTCCATTATACCATGAGTATCAATGGGAAATTACAAGATGGGTCAATGGAAATAGATTCTGGGAACAACTTGGAGACCTTTAAAATGGGAAGTGGAGCTGAAGAAGCAATTGAAGTTAATGACTTCCAGAATGTAAGTATATTTCACCCTTTAAGAGAGCATAACAGGCAAGCCTAGGGGATTCTTCTAGTCCAAGGAGAAGCAGCCTCTCTTATGTGCACCCCAATGATAACTTCTTTACAGCAGTTGCAGTGCCAACAAGCTACATGTGTCATGTAGCTTATTCTCTCTGCAAAGATGCCTTGCTTTGACCCCCATGTTCTCAAAAGGAAGAAACAACTTCTCCATGTGAAAAAAAAACGCAAAACACCTTTTGGTACAGTGGCACATGTGTAGACCCAGCTGCTAGGGAGGCTGAGACAGGAGGATCACTTGAGCACAGAAGTTTAAGGTGGCCTGGTCAACATAGCGCAATCCCATCTCCAAGCAAGAAAGAAGATAAAAGAAAATGAAATTAAAAAAACAAGACAAAATACCTTAATTGAATTCATGTACTCACAAGAAATGTTTTGAAAAACTAATTTTACCTCTAGAAAATAAAATATATGGACCTAGAAATCACAATAAAGCTTTATTTTTTAAAAATATTTTATTATTATTTTATGTGTGTGCATGTATTGCCTGTGTGTAGGTAAGTGCACCCATGTCGTGCAATGCCCGCGGAGGACAAAAGCAGCTGTCAGATTCCCTGGAACTGGACTTATGGACAGTTGTTAGCTGCCATGTGGGCGCTGGGATTCGAACCTAGGTCTTCTACAAGAACAACCAGTGTTCTTAACCACTGAGTCATCTCTCCAGCCCCTAAAGCTTTATTTTTTAAAATAATAGGGGTTGGAGAGATGGCTCAGTGGTTAAGAGCACTGACTGCTCTTGCAGAGAACCTGGGTTCGAGTCCCACCACCCACATGGCAGCTATAACCGTTCTTAACTCGAGTTCCAGGGGAATCCAAAGCCCTTTTCTGACCTCCATGCATTGCACATGGGTGCACTCACAAACACGCAGGCAATGCACTCATACACATAAAATAAAAATAAATAAAATATTTAAAATAAGAAAATAAAACAGGTGTAGTGGTACATGACTTTAATCCCAGCACTCAGGAGGCAGAGACAGGCAGATCTTTGTGAGATAAAGGCCAGCCTGGTCTACATAGTGACTTCCAGGACATCCAGGACTACATAGGGAGACCCTGTCTCAGGGTCTCAGAAGGGAGAGAGCGAGAGAGAGAGAGAGAGAGAGAAACATAATGCTACTGAAAAAAGCAGGTTCTTCTTGAATTACACATCCTTAAAAATTTACTAGAACTATGTTGTACCAAGTAATTTTCTGTAACATGACAAATAAAATATTCAAACTGTCCTAGAATAGAGCAAGGGCAAAACTTTAAACTTCTAGAGAATTGAAAGGCATTTTAATGACTGGATAGTCCATCAACAGATAGGTGCTACTTACATTTTTTTTTTTTATTTTTCTGATTTCACATTTAATCCAGAAAATAAGAACGGATGGATTCCCTGTTATAGCCAGGTTTTCTGGCCATGGTCTATTACAAATAAAACATTCGAGTCTCCTTTGAAAGGGAGACTGTTTTGTTTTACCAAAATTTAATTTCCAGGCAATTTGAGACATTAAACTATTCACTGATGCTTCAGTGTACATCTGCTAATCAAAGTGTCACTTCAGGCTTAATTTCCAATTGGATGACAGAAAAATCTTATTCTCCTTCATGTTCTGTGATGAGGAAGAAGCATCACTATTTTGGTTCTCCTGTTAAATCTGTAGACGAAGTAGGTGAAACTTCATAATGAAGAAGGGCTCTTGAAAATAATGTCTCTTCTCATAGTTTATGGGTCTACAAACATCTCATCAATCCATCTTCTTCTGATTGATGAGAAAAACTAAAGAAGCTTTTCATTTAAACGAAAGCACTCTTCCTCTTGTGGAAACCAAAACTCACTTCATAAGTCCTTTTGAATTCCCAACAGATGCTGACATTAGAGCTCCACGAGGCTGCGCATTGTTTGCAGCTGACAAGGACTGGCTGTGTTCATAGAGGTCCCTGCCCTGGGGACAGGCTCTGGAGCTCTGAATGTGCCCAGCTGCACTTTCTTTGGTCATAGCTTTGCAAATGGTTCTGGTCTGTGCACAAGTATAATTTCTATGAACCTATTAAAACGCATTTACTGCAAAATCTGGGACAGGGCAAAAACGTTTTTTTCTCTGTGCTGCTCAATATAAACTAATAAAATGTGGCTCCTCTCTCTATATATCATTCAATCCAGAACAAAATGGAATACCTATGATGTACCACAATATCAAAATATGCAAAGGGGGTTGTAAGGATGAATTATAAAAGATCCATCTCTTTTGAGATGTTCATGTATCAAGAATATCCTTTAAAATATTTTAATCCCAGACCTATATATCTGTTTTATAATCCTTTGGTTCTTTCTAATAATGGTATTGTGTTTTGTTCTCATAGACCAACAGGGCCACAAATATTTTATAAACTGATCAATTCTCTTTGATAGCTTCTACATTTCTCTAAGTCAGAACTGGTGAGTAGAACATTTTTTTGATGGATAGTACCTGTTATGAGTTTAAACAAGCCTAGACTTTTGAAAAGACATGAATCAGCCTCTGTGATCATCTGCTATTACTTTCTCCTTTATTTTAAACCAGCAGTCAAATGCAGGAAATGTTGATTAAGGTTCACTGTATGCACGATGGTGCTAAGCACAAGGAATGAAAATGGCTGACACATCCTTCAAGGTTCAGTCTAGGAGAGAGACATACACACAGAAATGACTTCAGATCAGCACAGGGAATGTGCCATGATGAGCTATGGGCAGTGTTCTCCACACACAGAGGCATCACTGCCAATTAGAGTCTTTGAGCAGGTTTGGCAGAGGTGATGACAATTGAATCAAATCCTGAAGAATGATTTGTGGTGCTGGAAACTGAACCAAGGCCCTTTCTTCTGCGAGGCTAGCATTCGACCACTTAGTTCTATCCCCAATACTTTGAGAAATGGTTTGGGTTTTAACGGGGAGAGGTAGAGGCCGGGCATGGAACATGCCTGGGGATGATAACGTACAGAAATGTGCACTCCTTCTGCCAACATAGTTAGTGTGGTCAAAGACGGAAAGGGAGACCAATGGAGATGCAGATGAGGCCAGATTGTGACAGGTTTCGAACAGCGATGAGTATCCAAGACCCCAATATTTTAACACAGCCCAACAGAGAAGAACCCCTTGAGAAGCACTGAAAACAAGTGCTCCAAACTTTGTTCCCCAAGAGTTAAAAAACAAAACTGAGTTTAGTCATAGTGTGTGATTTATATTCTAAAAGATTGTAACTTTGCAAGCATCCATGCTATTGATTTAAAGCGAGCCCCCCCACCCTAAAACCACATTTCAATAACAAAACCCATAATGAGAAATTAAAAGATAGGCAGTGTTGGTGAATATATGGTTGTTCACAATACAATTCTTTTAATATGTGGATATTTGAAATCTGTAATTTAAAAAGCTAGAGGGAAAAACAAGACAGCATAAGCTACCTAGAAGGTAGGAGGTTATTGATTTCAAAAATCAATATAACCCTCAACTGTAATGTAAAGGAGCAAGAAAATGAAGGTAATTTATAGTGAAATATGGATTTCATATGCTCAGCCTGATGCATTGACAGTCAGCATTAATAAAGTCAAGTGTATGCAATGGTAGTTCAAGGACTGCCAATACCATAACCTACAATGCAGACAGTCACAAATCTGCTTTGGCACTTAATGTTACGTAATTTTCTCAAACAGCAGATAGAAGTAGTGACTTCCTAATAGGCATGGCTGTGTATGCCTGCCATCCTGGCACTTGGGAAGATTGTGACACCAGCTTGAGCTATGTAGTGAGAGTCTCAAAAACAAAACAAAAACCTATTTCTTTCTCTTTTCAAAGTAATTATGTTTATAGGAAATTCACTATTCATTAAGCTATGACCAGTCACTCTATGCTTATATATAAAATGGAAATAGAACTGTGTTCCAGACACATGCCTACAAACAGCTTTTTCTCAGGAACCCAGGACAGTTGGCACTCCAGGAATACTCCAGGCTCTGGGAGAATCAGTAAGGCCAGAATTCTCCAATCTTTCTAACAACTAGACTCCTCCAAAGATTTCTAAAATGCCTCTTGAGGACTGAACGCCCTTCCCTCCTTGAGACCCTCTAGGAGTCACAGAAACAGATGAGATGCCCTAGGAAGAAATGCAGCTAAGGTGAGGTCATCTGGTTCTTTTGGTAAATGAATGTTAGGTTTCTTTTTTCAGTCTTTATTCACTGCCATTGTTAGGTTTCTTCACTATCACTAGCTCCTAAGGCCTTGTTTATTTGCAAAAGTAGGAGGTTTGCTTAGCTTTCTTCTGCTTCTCAATCTATTTAATCTCAATCTATGGCTACTTGATGAAGATTTGCAGCTAGATATAGTGGTTAAATGTGAATTTGTTCCCACTGGTCCCATCCCCATGGGATGTCTTCTCTCGCTGCAGTGTGTGGCTTGTCAGAACTCAATTCTAGATCCACTTTCAGTACTGTTGATTCTTCAGCAGAATTGGTGCTCTCCTTCAGGGATACTGGAACAATGTGTGGTATTTCTTCCCAATACATTTCATGCTCAGAGGGTAAGAGTGTTTGAAGTTAGAAAACATATCATATAGGGAGGCAGTGAGCTTACTTCCCTCCCTTGATTTTCAAGCTACAAGCCCAAGGTGTATATGCAGAAAAGCAGCAGAGCTTTGGAAGGCAGCATAGCAGATAGCAGTGGTTCTCAAACTGTATTTCTGAGGTTCTAAGAGCTTGCCAAACATACAAACTGAAGGCCTACTTAATCAGAAATCCCCACTCTGGGCTTGGGACCCAGACCGCTGCATTTTATTTAATAAGCCTTCCCAGGGGCTCTGACGCAAGCAAATGTTTGTGAGCCTCTGGTACAGAAGAAATTTAGTTCTAAAGACTATTGCAATCATTTAAACACCTAGTTACTCTGAAAAAGTTCCCTAAGCTGGCGGGCCCCAATTCTGGCTGTCCATCATCGATACTTGGGTACTTTTAAGAATACCAGTGACCGGGCTCCACATCATCAATGCAATAAGAACTCTTAGGATGGTTTTATTTGACTGCTTGTTGAGACAGGGTCTCATATATTTCAAGCTGGCCTACATACTATATAACCAAGGATAACCTTGTACCTTTGATTTTTCTGCTTTCACCTTCCAAGTGCTGAGATTATAGGAAAATACAACCAAACCTGGTTTGGTCAGCTATGTTCTCAAGGCAACTTTGGTGGTCAAAGCAGACCTCTACAGTCACTGTTGGGGGTCCTCTTCTGAGAAGGAAACCATACTTCTGTCCTGTTGAGAAACAAGGCGACATGGGTTACAAAGTGTGTGTATAACCAAGCAGATCTCAAGGCAAATAATGGGTGATGTGGGAAGAACATGCCTTTCCTCCTCCGTTCCCAGTCTGCCTCCTGCCAGCTTCTGTATGGCTTTAGGTCCTGAGTATAAGATAGAACTTCCCGTGAATCTCCTCCAGGGAGACTTATGTTTAACTTCATTCTCCCTTCAGGAAGCCTGAATCCCCAGCCCACATCACTGGATTAGTGCTTTTCTTCCCCCATTCCTTAGCACTGACTGGAACCAGTTCAGCCTTGTCCTACACTTGTCTCAATACATTAGAAGGTTATCAAGGTTCAGACTTAATGGTGGTGTCTACATTATAACTGGCATAAAATTTATGACCTTTAAGAATATTTTTGGCCACATCAACAGAGTGAAAATAAATACTCCTGGGACACAGTGTTCAGTTCCCCTCATATCCGCTCCTCTCTGGGTAAACCAGTGCCAAGCTGTCAACCTAGAGGGAACTTTGTGCTGATGTGTCCCTTAAGGCTGGTCCCCAGCCAGGAGGAGACACTGTTTATATCTCAGAGGGGAAAAAAACAAAACATCCAAGTCCTCAGGTAAAGTTCAGCTCCTAGGGCAGTAGAAAACTTTCCTATTTATTCTGGACTCAGTAACTTGGGAAATACGCAAAATAAATACTCAAAATTAAGGGAATTAATTTGATCAACATCTTTTGAGAACCTTTGTAAGGAGACACACACACACACACACACACACACTGATCTCAAGCTCGTAACTGAAAAATATAGACCAAAAAGATGAAGCTTATAAAAAGTCAAAGACAAGGGGCTGGAGAGATAGTTTAGCGGTTAAGAACACTTGCTGTTCTTGCAAAAGACCCAGGTTCGAATCCCAGCACCCACATGGCGGCTAATAACTGTTACTCCAGTTCCAGGGGATCTGACAGCCTCTTCTGTCCTCTGTGGGCACTGTACAACATGGGTGCACTTACCTACATGCAGGCAATATATGTATATACATAAAATAAAATTTTTTTTTTAATTGAAAATAAAAGTCAGAGACAAGAGAGCTCACCTAGGCCAGGGGTTCAGAAAAGGCTGCATGGATAAGGTGGCAGTTCATCTGAGCTTCTGGAAGTAGACAGAATAACATGTTCCACCTGGGTTAAGTCACCCTTCTCACTGTGCTAAGGGAACATCTTCCTGCCTTCCTATCTCTTCCCTAGTCTTATTTTTCTCCACAACCCTTATTTATACTTCAATTTATCTTAGGTTTTTCTTATTGGAAAATAATGCTAATAGGTAAATTCCATGACAGTCAGGATTTTTCCTTTCAGTTAATTTTATTGAGAATTTCATACAGTATATTTTGATCATATGCACACTTTCCCCCATCTCCACTCTTACCTTACTACCCTGACTCCATGACTTATTTTTCTTTTTTAAAGGCCAATCGAGTCTAATTTGTGTTCCCCAAATGTTCTTGGGTGTGGGTCTATCCCTTGGAGGCTGGTCAATCTACCAGGCATCACACCAGAAAGAAAACGGATTAAATCTCTCCAAGCAACTATCGATTGCCAATAGTTCCACAGCTAGGGGCTTCTTCCTCACCTCCCTCATTCATGCTGGGTTTCTGCCTGACTTGGGCTTGCACATGTCTTGTGCATGCTGTCACAAGTGCTGTGGGTTCATATGTGCAACTCTTCTGTTGTGTACAGAGAACATGGTCTCCTTGCTTTCATCGACTACCTCTGGCTCTTATAATCTGCCTCCTCCTCTTCTGCAATGATCCCTGAGTCTTGAGAGGAAAGGGTGAGATATAGGCATCCCATTCAGGGCTGAGCACTCTGGAGTCTCTTATTCTCTACATATTGACAGGTTGTGGGTCTCTGTGTCAATTGCCATCCAACAGTCAGGATTTTATCTTACATTTATCCCTATATCCAACACCCTAAACAATGCCTGGCACACAAGAACCTAATGAATTGAAAATGAATGAATGAATGCACAGATGAAGAAATGGTTTTTGTTATTTTTCTTTTTGAGACAGGGTCACACAATGAAACCCTGAATAGCTTAGAACTCCCTATGTAGACCAAGACAGCCTCACACTCAAGATCCACCTGCCTCTGCTGGGACTACAGGCATGCACCACCATGCCTGGCCAGACAATAAACTTTTATCTCACAGGGTATCACTGGAATCCGATTTGCTGGAGGAGAGAAGTGCTACATCAAAGCACAGGTGAAGGCTCATGTTCCTGAAGTGGGCACTGTGACCAAGCAAAGCATCTCTTCTGAACTAGTAAGTACCAACATACACAACAGCCAGAGTGTTTCAAGGAAATGGTTTGAAGGCACTACCCTTTCGTCTAGTTCCTAGACAAGTTCATAACCAGAACCTAGGTTTTATTTCTTCTCTGTCAGAGGAATTTAAACTATATCTGCTCTGCTGGCTCCAAGAATCTTTCTACATGGTATAGTGCATTTAAAGGTCTGTGGAAGCCACATTTTAAAGTGCATGAGGCAAGATGAATCAGCAGGTCAGCTTGCAGCCAAGCCTGACAACCCTGGAACTCATATGGTGGGAAGAGTGTCAACTCCTTCAAGTTGTGCTCTGACCTCCGCAGGCACTTTGTGGCCACACATGGCCACAGGGTCACACACACAAAATGCAAAATATTTTAAGTTCAGTAGGGGCTTGGTACTCACATGGCCCTTATTTGCCCAGTATTAGGTAACTATCACATCATAGTTAGAAGTTCACAATAAAGATAAGGTAGAATCTTCATTAAAGGAACTTCAAGAAGTCCTCTAGCTCCAGCCCACAAAATGTGGGAATGCCTCCCAAATATTCTAGATCATTTAGCCTCTGCCAGGTCATTTAGCCTCTGCCAGAAAACTGACAGGGCACTCTTCCTATGAATGTTCTGTCTAGGAAAACTAATTGTTTTGTCCAACATTGAGCTAAAATGGTCCCCTACAGTTTTTTTTTTTCTTTTCTCTTTAGTTCAAGGTCAGCTTAATGAAGCAACACAAAACTCGTGTTTTTAATTTTCTTTTTTTAAACAAGGGAATTGAATCTAGGGCTATGCTAGCTGGGAAAGCACTGAGCTATAAGTTACTCATGTTGACCTTGAAAACTTAGGTTAGCCAGGCCCAAAACTTTACATATTTTAAAAACATAATCCTTCAACTTATTAATAGTAACTTGACTTTAAGCTTGATTTTTTTGTTTTGTTTATTACTGGGAATTGAACCTAGGGCCTCATACATGCTAGGTTAAGCACTGCACTAGGTAAGCTATACATGCTCAGCCCAAACTGGATTTTTAAAATATTTTCTTTAAGAGTTGCACAGAGTCCTAAAGACACATTTATTAATAATACTTTACGTTTTTATAATTGTAGGGCTTTCAAAGTAGTCATACCCATTGACTTCCACTTGAGTGGTGGCAGATATGGTAGAAAGAAAAGACCTTAGAGTCAGAAAAAAAAAAATCGATTCAAATCCCAGCTCTGACACTTGCAGTGAATGTGGCTGTAACTCCTTGAGCCTCATTTTCATCACTTTCAAACTGGTGGTATACACACTGTGCTCATGGCCCTAGAACCTACTAGATCTAAATGGGAGATTGCTGCTCATTATTGCTAATTTTATTATGATCATCTCTGAGCCTTCCAGTATCCCAGAGAGGGAAGTGAAGCAAGCGTCAGATCCCTCAAGGCCACATGGGGAAAACGTGCATAAACAAAGGTGCCTGGAAACCACTTAACTGTTTGCTCCTATGGGAGCAGCAGCTGGTGATGTCTCAAAACAAAACAAAACACAAACTAAAAATGAACCTATGAGTTTCAAAAGTGAGCCATTACATGCTGGTCTCATTCCTACTCTCTCTCCAGTGTTCATCCTCTAAGGTAGTATCTAAGTTGGGGCCTCCTTATCCCAGTCTTTCTCCTCAAAACATGCTCTAGTTTTTCTCCATGAGCTGGTCAGAATTGAAGGCCAGGCTCTCAGTGTGAACTTACACGAGGTTACCTAAAGGGGGATAAGAACCTTCCTTCTAGCTCTTGCTTTACATCACTGTTCAGTCATGCCACTCAGTTTCTTGTGCCATTTTTCAAATGTGGACATGAACTCAGTGTTCTTTCCTGCCTTCCACAAGAACCAATTCCTCCAATTGTAGCTTACCCAGATCTAATCACAACTTTGTAGCATATAACAATTTTTACATTTTTAGTTATATATATGTGTTTATATATGTGTGTGCACGTGTGTATGAAGGTGAGAGGACAACCTGTGGGAGTCAGTTCTTTCTTTCCACCATGTGAGACTGGGGATTCAACTCAGGTCAAAGGCAAGTGCCTTTTCATTGGCCCTTTATATATAACTTTTCAAGTGAGATTTCTTCCTGAAATTCAAAAGTAATGACATTATAGAAGATTTGATAAACACACAAAAGTACAGAGATAAAAATCACCCACAAGTACATAATCCACAAGTAACTAATGTTGATAGCCTGCTGGATTCTGTGTGATATTTTCAGAAATGAAATTGGGCTGTTATAGATTCTTATTTTCACTTGGTTCTTCTAAATTGTAGGTTATAATGTATGTATTATAGACCATCATATAATTATAACTTTCAAAGTCTTTAACATTTCAAGTATCTCCAATTTTTCACTATTTCAAATGACACTTGAAAATAATTATTCAACTATTTTTATTTTTTGTTATTTTTTAATCTTTGCACTTTATTCTTAGGCCATAGAAGTATATTTTTCTTCTTGTGTGTCTGTTGTTTATAGCATGCATGGTGGATCCTCTGAGGGACAAAAAACAATTCAGAAAGTACAGGAGGGTAAATTAGCTATGTGGTTGGCTGTCAGTAGCAGATAACTTCACATAGACTATCTTAAATAGACAGAAATCTGAGGTAGGTGGCTTTAAGGGCTGGCTCAGTGGCAGCAACTTTGTGACTTTTATTATTATTTCCTTCCACTTCTAAACATGGTAGTACTGCACATCCTCTTTTTTTTAAAAAAAATATTGTCTTTTTGAGACAGGGTCTCCCTGTAGCCCCAGCTGGCCTGGAACTCACTATATAGACAAGGCTGGCCTCGAACTAACAGAGATCTGCCTGCCTCTGCCTCCCAAGTGCTGGGATTAAAGCCACCACGCCCAGCTTTATTATTTTTATGTCTATGAATGTACTGCTTGCATGTATGTAAGTGTACCTGTGTTAAGCAATGCCTGTGGAGGTCAGAAGAGGAAATCAGATCCCCTGAAACTGGAGTTATGGGTCAGTTGTTAGCCACCATGTGGGTACTGGGAATAGAACCCCAGTAGTCTGCAAGAGCACCAGTGCTCTTAACCCAGTGGTTAACAGCATCTTTCTGACTCCATACTGCACATCCTCTTCTCTAGTCAAAAAGAAGTTAAGCAGGAGATGGGAGACAGCTCAGCTGGTAAAGTGTTTGCCTTGCAAACATGAAGACCTGTGTTCAACCCCAGAACCCACAGTTAAGAAAAAAAGAAGAAATAAAGAGGATGTTGTGGCCCTTGCATGTAATTCTAGCACCGGGGGCCAGAGAGAGAAGGATCACTGGGGCTTGCTGGCCAGCTAGCCTAGCTTATTTGATGAGCTCCAGGCCAATAAGAGATCCTGTTTCAGAAAACAAGGTAGACAGCACCTGAGAAACAACACCCAAGGTTGTTGCCTGGCCAGTACACACACATGCACAATGTGCACCGCCCCCCGCCCACCCCCTCATATATCATTAACGCTGGGTGATGCCAACTCTGATTTACTTTAATTTGGGGAAAGCAAGTCTCTCAGTTAGACCACATATTTGAGCCATGATTCATGCCCCACCCTGGCCACTGGAGAACAGGAGGAAGGAGCGTCCCTCCTTGCAATGGACACACTGCTGCCTCCAACAAAAGCAGGATTGTGTTGCAAGGAAAAGGAGGCAGGAGACTGTATTGGCTCCAAGACTGACAACATTCTCAGCATCCAGCTGCATCTGTGTATGTTATCCCAATCACACCCTCCTCACCACATACTTTAGACTATGATGGGGGCAGGTTTAGGTGCCATCTGCTCTCATAAATTTCCCATCAGTTTTATGTAACTTTAAAAAACTACTGTACTCAAAGAGCATTCATTTTCTGGGATGGGGCCATTTAATTTAAGGTAAATAACTGGATTACCTGAGTGTTACCTTCCTCCAATAACTTTAAGTTGCTTAATGCAGCCATATGCCTGAGGGAGAAAACACAAATCAAGTGTTGCTTTCAGCTAAAGTGAGGAGAAAACATTTTAATTTCTCCAACCCATTGCAAACTAATAAATGCATGAAAGGAATGACCTGACAAAAATAAATTTGTCTCCTGGGTTATCAAACCATTCTTGGCATCTTGCTGTGGAAGAAAATCCAGGGTTTAGCTTTGAAATCTCAGTGGTATACCTGATGTGAGGAACTTCTGAAATGTGTTTTGTTATAGCTGGGAAATGGTTTATGTTAAATAATACTTTGAACTGAACACATTAAAGAACCAATCATTTGCTTTTTCCATTGTTGTTTGGACGCTGCAGAACAAAACCCCTAAAGATTTTCACTTCAAATAAAGGGTTCCTCTATCCTTTATAGGATTTCAGGGTCTGTTCAATTGCCTTTCCTCAAAAACATCTTTGATAGAAAACATCAGATTAACCTAAATCTCAAAGTTGGTATCAAGTAATTTTCACTTCAACTCAAAGTACTTCTGTTCACACATTACAGCTATCTAGAAGCAGGGCAATGGGGAGGTGTGCTGAATACTGGGAGGGCTACAAAGAGGCTGGAGCCTTAAAGTGTGCATGCATGGTGTGTGCAGACACATGGATGGAACTGTCTCTATGTTTTCATAAAACAAAATAATGCTTTTAGCAACCTGACTTGTTATGTAGCATGATCCACCATCTTCTTTGTTCAAATGCATTTCACTTTTACAGGAAGGCAAGATCATGCCAGTTAAATATGAAGAAAATTCTCTTATCTGGGTGGCTGTTGACCAGCCTGTGAAGGACAACAGCTTCTTGAGTTCTAAAGTCCTTGAACTCTGTGGCAACCTCCCTATTTTCTGGCTGAAACCTACGTATCCAAAAGGTAAAGTTTTAAGCTCTCATAATAAGGCTTGGAATTCTCCCTGTCCCTGTGGTTTCTGAGAGCCCTTCTGCTGGCCTGAGCACCTGACAAAAAAGATAAAATCGGGAGGCATGTTGGCAGTCTTGGTAATTAGTATGAGACATAAAAGAGAAAGAAAATGACAGCATGACTGCTGTGTGGAAGGGAAGGAGCAGCAGGGTTAACCAGAAGCAGAGCAGGAAGACAGAACGCCTCTGCATTACCTGTGGCTTTTATTTATGACACTCCTGCTTCTTCCCACTCTACCCCTTAATCTCAGTTGTTTGCACCTTCCAATTTTCCTTTTTTTCAATTCTTTAAAGCATAGCATCAAGGGACTAAGAAGCTGTCGTGCCACCGAATCTTTATTATATTCAAACCTAGAATTATGGGACAGCCAAAAGCTGCTGTGGGTATAGGCTGAGATTCCTCAAGTTCAAGACTTGAGCATCAGCTTCCAAATCCAGAGAAAAGAAGTGCAGGGTCCCTAGGGTTCAGAATTAGGCTGGAGCCTATCTTCGAGCAATTTCCAGGTGACCAAGGGCAGGTGTGCCCAGTGGCCTCTTTCCCCCAAGATACTCTCATCCCCAGGGCGCCTCACACTGCATTTCTACTGCAGTCAACACAATTTTGCAGCTCTGGTTCAGATGCCAAGGGAGGCCTTTCTCCTAGCACAGATGAAGATAGGCTATGTTTTCTGAGGATTTTATTGTATACTAGAAGACAGCAATGAGGAAATGGGGAAAATGCAAGCATTGCAACCACTAGGCTTGACAGGGCACTCACTACCTAAAGTAACAGTGCTAGGGATGAATGGCATTGATGGTTACACAGTGATGGGAATGTAATGCTCTCAACTGCACAACTAAAAATTGCTCAAGTGAGTGGGGCCTGCTGACTGCTTATACTGCAGAACTAGGAAGGTTGAGGCAGTTCAAGGCCATCCTCAGCTGCACAATGAGCGTAAAGCCACCCTGAACTACAAGACTCTGTCTAAAATAAAGTCAATTTTGTTATGCCTGTTTTACCACAATCAAAACAATACCCCACCAGGAATAGAGCTGATACTTACCATACCTAAGTCTCCAAAGTCTGGAGGAGATGGCTACTCTCAGCCACCAGGCCAGTAATGTCAAGCCACCCCTGGAGAAAGAGGGTCAAGACTCCTGAGGCCATGGGCAGGCTCAGAAAAAAGCAGTGTCCATCAGAACTGTAGAGGCTGGAAGGAGGGGTGCCAAGAGTGCCATTTCTGTTCTTGAAACTCATAATCCTCTGGCCATTTCCCACTTTCCAGTGTTCCATTCCTCTTAACCATCACCTAGCTGGGCCTTCTTGCTTTCTACCCTGCAGGAACTATTACCTTTCCACACTGCTAGCATGTAGAGCTTTTCCTAATCACATTCTGTTTGAGGACAAGCCTTCATTTGACAAACATTTATGAAGGCCTATCCTGTGCCATATAACTTGTTCTAGGTGCTTAAGGTATGTCAGACAAGAATCCATACTCTCAAGAGCTGTTATTTTGTGGGGCTGGGGAGATGACTCAGTGAGTAAAGCATTTGCCACTTATATGTGAGGAACAGCATTCAGATCCCAAGCATCCCCATAAATGCAGGGCAGACAAGATAGCCTGTAATCCCAACACTTAGGAGGCAGAGACTGAGAATCTCTGGAGCAAGGTGGCCAGCTAGATTAACCAAATCAATAAGCTGTGGGTTCAAGTGAGGGACCCTGCCTCAACATATAAGGTGGAGAGCAATCAAGGAAGATACTCAACATCAGCCTCTGGACTCCACCCACACCCATGCACTCACATACATGCAAACATGAACACATACACTTATACATACCCCCCCCACACACACACATAAGAGTTCTATGTTGCAGTAAGAGACAGTAAAGAAATACTAGATTGAAATAGGAAGATTGGGACTGGGGAGACAGCTCAGTCTGTAAAGTACCTAACACAAGCATTAGGAATTGAGTTTGATCCCTAGCACCCATACAAAAAGTCGATGTGGCAGCAAGTGCTTGTAATCCCCACATTGGGGAGACAAAGACAGAAGGATCCCTTCAGTCTGCCACACAGCCAGTCTAACTTAATTGGTGAGCCCCAGGTCCCAGTGAGAAATCCTGTCTAAAGGAAAGAAAGAAAAAACACAAGGTGGATGGCTCATGAGGAACACCACCTAAGGTTGACCTCTGCCTCCCCCACTCACACTTGTAAGAACATGAGCACACACATAAGAAAACGGGACAATTGTACAGTAATAATAGGAGGAACAATCTGAAAAATCCAGTGCAGGAGCAGGGAGGAGACAACCAGACAAATGGCAGTGCCATAACAGACACAACAAGAAATTTCACCATTGGAAAAGAGCTTTCTTGTATCTACGATGTCCCTTGGCCCCCTTACAGCACAAAAGCATCTCTCTTACATATTTAGTCAACACAATATCCACACAAGAATTACACATAGTAGGCTGGATAGCTCTGTGGTGGAGTGCTGGCTTACTTTGATCCCCAGCATCATAAAAAAAATACACCACAAAAGAGGAACCCACAGAAATGCCCCCAGATTAGCAAAGGATTAAATAAATGTTGGCATATGCATAGGAATATCATAGGCATTAAAAATCACTTTTCACCAGACATTAAAGGTAGCACATACCTTTAATCCCAGTCCTCAGAAAGCAGAAGCAGGCAGATCTCTGAGATGGAGGCCAGCCTGGAACACATAGTGACTTCTAGGTGGGCTGGAACTAGGGAGACCCTGTCAAAAAAAAAAAAAAACCCAAACCAACCTCCAAATAAAATTTTCCCCTCACCTGTCATAAGTGAAATTATATTTTAATAAAATGAAGAAATTAAACATCCCTTCCGTGAGGCTCAGCTCCCAATTCAGTTCTAGTTGAAATCTCACTCCAGGTCGTGTGGCCCCTACATTGGATATTGAAGGCAGCAGGTCATCAGTATCACATTGCTGGATTATCAAAGGTAGATGGTGGCCAGGTGGGAAAGGAAGGAGACAGCCAAATGTCAGAAGACCTGAGTGTCCTAGAGCATCATCACATTTTGGTTTTTTTTGTTTTTTTTTGTTTTTTTTTGGTCTTTTTGAGACAGGGTCTCCCTGTAGCCCCAGCTGGCCTGGCACTCACTATGTAGACCAGGTTGGCCTTGATCTGCCTGCCTCTGCTTCCCGAGTGGCTGGGATTAAAGACATATGCCACCACAACTGACTGCTGTCCTCATTTAATCTTGACCAACAGTGGCTGATGTAACTACTCATATTCCCATGCTACAGATGAAGAAACTAAGATCAACAGAGACTCGGTTGTCTGAGATCCTTCAAATAGTTGTGTGAGGTGAATTCAGGTCTCCCAGGTGTTTCTCCAACCATGTTTATAGAAACTATATACAGCATTAAGGCACATCTAAAGTCTCATATAGGAAATTATAATAAAACCAGTACCTAACATTTGAGTGTTTCTTATATGCCAAAACCTTAAGATACAGTTTTCATTAGCCCTATCATTATCATGTGAATTAGAGACACTATTATCTCCATTTTATAGACAGAGAAATCAAGGCATAGGGAGACACTAAAGCAAATGCTGTGTGGTACTTACCATCTTTGTTACTCACTTGTCAGTTGTGCGGTAGTGCTGTAACCCCTGGCAATGTGGTTAACCAGAGCATTGAGTCTGAAGCCAGAGTTCACATCTAGTCCTAGCTCTGTCAGTCTGTGATCTTGGCCAGTCACTTGGTCTTTCTGAGCTTTGATGCCCTCATATATAAAAACTTTATTCAGTCAATCTATTAGGAATGCATAGGGCTACAAGTAACAAAATACATGGTCTGCTTTTATATTTATTATAGCCTTTGTGTATTTATTTATTATTTTATATAGCTAAAACATAGGGGATACAAAGTTTCTGGCATTAGTGGCCACTCCATGACACCATCAAGTCTCTAACTTACCAATGTTCTAACTATAGCATGCTGCCTTATCACCCTTATGCTTATCACTTTAAAAAAATTTATTTTATGTATATGAGTATACTGCATGTGTGTAAGTACACCTGTGCCATTCAATGCCCATGGAGGTCAGAAGAGGGTGTTGGATTCTCCTGAAACTAGAGTTACAGACTGTTGTTAGCAACTATGTGGGTGCTGGGAATCAACCTCCTGTCTTCTGCAAGAGCAGCAGAACTGCTGAGCCAGTTCCCCAGCCCCTTACTTATCACTTCTTAACTTCAGATTTCACATCTATATTTTCTTAAAAAGGAAACGCACAAAAGCAACCATCTGTTCTCTTTTAACAAGAAAGCAAAAGCTTTCCCACACAGGGCACTAGCCTAATCTACCTATGTCTCACTAGTCAGAAATAGCTCACCTGATTACGCTCACTGCAAAGGAGGCAGAGAAAATGAATTGCATTTTATTTGTGCAGCTCCTATAGTAAGGTGAGAAAAATGATGGAGGGGTTGAAAATACAAGTGTCAGCCAGTTTCCAGATCTGTTCCAATTAGCATTATAAAATCAAATGGGAAGCCAGGCACAGGATTCATACCACAATCTCCACTATAGGAGGCTAAGGCAGGAAAATTACTAGAGCCCAGGAATTTAAGGCCAGTTGGAGCAACATAAGGTATTGTCTCAAAACAAGAAGCAAACGAAAAGAACAAACCAAGTTAGCTCTGTTTAACTATGAATCCAAGACCATATATTTTATTATTGCAAAAATTGTCAGTACAAAAATTAGAGCATTTAGTCATACTCATATTTTGATAGCCTCTTTTTATATGGTTTTTCATCTTTAAAATAGTTGAAGATTGAATTGTAAAATTAATTTACAGCAAATTTTGCAGAAATCCAGAGAGAAAGAAGAGAAGTATTAAGAAACACTGCTCCAACTACCACAAGAAGATCACACAGTGGGCCACGGGGCAACCCAGGCCCCAGACTGCATAATGAAACCAAGCCCAGTGTTCAAGAGGACGTAGAGCTGTTCAATCCTGACAATCCTTACCATGTGGGTACTGGTATTTTCATGACATGCTGAGATGAATGCATTAAACAAATGTTGAAAGGGAGTTTCTACATGAGATTTCATACAAGCATTTAGTATCCAACTGAGGCCTTTGCTTGATTTTAAAAGTTTGTCTTCATCTATTTGGTGCAAAGTTTATTTTTTAAGATTTATTTTATTTTTATTAACATATGTATATACAGATGGAAGGGTGGATGCAAGTGTGTGGGTACCTATGGAGGCCAGGTGTCAAGTTACAGGCAGTTGTAAAATGAATGACATGGGTGTTGGGAATCAACCTCAGGTCCTCTGAAATATCAAACGCTCTTAACCTCGGAGTCATCTCTCTAGCCCTATAGTTTATGACGAATGGTGAGGAACAAGCCTGGCTGTCACCCTATTTCAAAGTTGTGTCCTGTGCTCTCCTTTGTCTCACACACACACACACACACACACACACACACAAATCCATGAAAATAAAGTCTATCAGGAATCGGATTATTTTAAAATGTTTCCAAGAGTGTGCCCTGGAGGCAAAACACAGAATGAAAGTACTGTTTGTATTCATTCTATTCATCCATTCAAGAGACATTTGTTGCTACCTGCTCTTTCCCAGGCTCTATGCCCAGACAGTCAGCAGTAACTTCTTCCCACAGGGCTCTCAGTCCAGACAGGGGATAGAATCATACATAGCTAGCAACACTTTAGGCTGAAGCAGTGAGAACTGATATTTATGAGGATAGCACTAAAGTATTAAAATCTCACATCTTCTAAGAAATATTTACCATTTACCATTACTCTACCTCACATGGACAAAAATACGGTAACTCCTTTTTAAATTAAAAAAAAAAAAAAGCACACATACATATTTAGAAAAAAACAAAGGGCACAATAGAGCTTCCCAAACCTTCCATCCTAGACATCTTCCCCAGAGCAGCCTATTAACCTTTATATTCAGTCTCTTGGCACAAATACATACACACCGACACACACCTTTCCAGCACAAAAATCCCATACCTCACTCTTTACTACTGCAACACAGTATTTTTGGAAACTGTTCTATATCTCTTACAAAGGCCTATCTCATCATTTAATAATCATTTAGACTGTTCTTAATCTCTCATATCTCATTCAGTAAATGGCTTCTATTCATTTGTCAGTACTTTAACACATGGACAGGTGAGGGATATAAATTATTTCCCTCTCTTTTGCTACTGCAAATGCTGCTATAATACATCACCTCCATGAGGCAATCCAGGTGAAGCTCTTTGTACATGGCATGGGCAGAGCACCACACAGCATATATTATTATTATTATTATTATTATTATTATTATTATTATTATTATTATTGGTCTTTTTGAAAGAGTTTCCCTGAAGCCCCAGCTGGCCTTGAACTCACAAAGATCTACCTGCCTCTGCCTCCCATGCTGGGACTACAGGCATGCTCCACCACGCCTGGATAGCATATATTATTATATCTGTGTATGCACATGGAAATGTGTCTTTAGCATAAATATCAAAGCATAGGTCTGATACATCAAAGTAGATAGGAACTGTACACTTCAATATAGGCTACCAAATTGTTTTCCAAGGAATTGCACCAACTACACATCTGAGAAAAGTAATGGAAAGCCCCACTTATTATCAAACTTTTTTTTTTCATATGACAGGGTAAGGGGTATTGAACCCAAGCCTCACACTTGCTGAGCATATACTCTGCCACTCAGCTATACCTCTAATTCCATCAAACCTTTTAATCTTTACTGATCTCTCAGGTGTATCTTGCCTGTCTTTAATTATTTGTAAGACTGAACATCTTTTCATGCACTAAATTACACCTGTATTTTTTGAGGAGCCTATTCAGGTCTATGCTGCTTCATGTATTACAAACGTATTTTCTAGTTTACCATTTTACACTAATATATTTTAGAAGGATTTAGAGCAAAAGGTATTTTCTAAATAACCTAAGGCTTATCAGAAAATTCAGAACACCACAGTACTTAAGAATAACTAGAAATACAATCTGAATAGGCAAACAAAATTTAATATAGTTTATTCCCCAGGTAGCTGGGCTAGCTGAATTTGTTCAAGGTCTGAGGCTATCAGGACTTGGCAGAAAGGCAGATTATGACTTGGCTGCCCTGGTAACAGACTCGGGTGATCCACATTCCTTGAAAAACTCCAATTATGTCAACTTTTTCCTTATCATACGCTGAGCTTTAAGCAAAAACATTCTAAGCATTTCTCCGTGATCTCAGTCCTTCACATAGTCCTCTAAGGAAAAAAGAAAAACAAACAAACAAAAAAAGAACCCAGATCAATAACCTGAAATGTCCTCCTCAATTTGTTAATCCTAACAAACCTTTGTTGACCCTCTATGAGGAAACACATCCACTAACATTTCTTTAATCACCTTCTGTCTGCCCCAAAGAAGTCAGCTAAAATTCATCAGTCAGCTGTCTTTTTGTTGGCATAGGTGAATATATTTCAAGAGATAAGTTTTAAAAAAGAGGGGCTGGAGAGATGGCTTAGCAGTTAAGAGCACTGGCTGCTCTTGCAGAGGACTTGAGTGTGGTTCCCAGCACCTATATGACAACTAACAACTGTTTGTAACTCCAGTTCCAGAGGATCAGATGCCCTCCTTCTGGCCTTGACACAGGTGTACTAACATACTTGCAGGCAAAACACTCATACATATAAAATAAAAATAATTTTTTTCTTTAAAATATAGTCTGGGCCAGGCATGGTGGCGCACGCCTTTAATCCCAGCACTCGGGAGACAGAGGCAGGTGGCTCTCTGTGAGTTCAAGGCCAGCCTGGTCTACATAGTGAGTTCCAGGACAGCTGGGGCTACAGGGAGACCCTGTCTCAAAAAGACCCCCCCCAAAAAAATATATATAGTCTGGCTGGGCGTGGTGGCACATATGGAATAGTCTAAGGAGTAAGATACATATTTTGAGGATAAAATCTGAAGCGATGGAACAGATAATGTTAAGGAATTGTTCATTCTCTTAGGGTTTGACAATGGCAGTGACACTGTATTAGAAAATACCCCTTGGTTTTAAAAGTACATTCTAGCTGGGCATGGTAGCATACACCTTTAATCCCATTACTCAGGAAGCAGAGGCAAGTTGAGCTCTTTAAGTTCAAAGTCAGCATGGTCTATATACCAAGGTCCAGGTCAGCCAAAGCTACATAGTGAGATCCTGTCTCAAAAAAAAAAAATTAAAAAATAGGTTAGCAAGTGTCAAAATGAGACAAGTTTATTGACAATTGGTATAGTTTTCTCCACCTCAAGGATATTTGGAAAATTTTAAAGCTTTCTTCAACATGACTAAAGACTTAAAAAACAAAACAAACATTGGGCATGGTGCCACATACGTTTAATTCCAGCACTTAGAAGGCAGAGGCAGGCGGATCTCTGTGAGTTCAAGGCCAGCCTGGTCCCCTAGTGAATCCAGGCCAGCTGTGGCCATAGAGACCCTGTCTCAAAAAGTCCAAAATAATCAATCAATCAATCAATCAATCAATCAATCAAAATAAACAAACAAACAGAATCAGCTACCTCCAGGATAGGTACTGAGATTAAATAGAGAATTTAAAGGACCTTGCTGAGAGTAGTGCTCAGGTCTGTAATCCCAACTTTCAAGAGGCTGAGTGAGACAGGATTGCTTAAAGATCAAGATCTTGCTCCCCTCTGCCCCCAAATAAAAATAAAAGGGCTTTGTGGCAGTATAATTCAATACCATATTAAACAACATACAAAATCTTGACTTCTAGAAATTTTGAAAAGGTAAAACAGACAGATATACCAATTGAGCAGAGAGCAAGTTCCTTCTAGTATTCTGATCTGTTTAGCAGTAAGAATACAGTCTTACTTTACCAGTGTGATTTTGTGTTTGGAACCACTTAAGACCCTCCTTAGGTCCCCATGGAGATAGCATCTCCATTCTGTTGCTGAAATGCTGGCAGGAGAAACTAAATCATTTAGTCTCTGGAAGCCAGTGAAATGAACTAAAATCTAGCCTAACTTTAGATCGGTGAGTTTAAAATGTGTACCCAAAAGCCCTGGAAGCCATCACTGCAGGAAGGCACCATATTCCACGGGCTTGAAATTAGCAGTGGCAGAAATGTTCCATTTGATCATAATGCTTCTTTCTTGTTTTCTTATTTAAAACAAGGTGAGTCACTACTAAATGGTAACCATGGCTCGTTACAGGCATGGAGAAACTTCAGTATATCATTAAAACACCACACAAGTTTCTGCCAATGACAGGTTAGATAGGTCAAAGTTCCTTGATGTCAGAAGGAATTCCGAATGGTGGCAGGTTACAAGATTGAAACTTACAGCTGACTGTGCTAATTTCTTGAAGCAGTGAACTCAAGATCTTATTTTAAAATAACATGCATTCTATAACCTTCTCATAAAGAAAATAATTTTCTTTTAATTCACAGCAGCAGGAAGGGGAAAGCATGACATTTGACCCTAGGCTGGATCATGAAGGAATATGCTGTATAGAATGTAGGCGAAGCTACACCCACTGCCAGAAGATCTGCGAACCTCTGGGGGGCTACTATCCATGGCCTTATAACTATCAAGGATGTCGTTCGGCCTGCAGAGTTGTCATGCCATGTAGCTGGTGGGTTGCCCGCATCTTGGGCATGGTGTAAAAACACTTCATATATCGGTATTGCCAAGCAAGAATTAACTTGAGAACTGCCAACAAGGAAAGGGTAAAAGCATGTTGATGCCAAGGGACCACAAAGTATTTTATATTCAACCTAATACTATCTTAAACACTTCCAACAAAATTTCTCAACTGCTTTCCAGACTGTATCTAGTATGTGCGAATGTACTGAAAGGGTAGTTTAAGTCTACAATTATAACCCCTTTATTATTTGCTTTGCTTTGACAATAAAGCCTACTGTAAGTCTTTAAAAGCTGATTTTGAAATAAACATGAAAATTTTTTTCAAATTTTTCACAGATGTGCATGAGTTCCTTTTAATCAAAGAATGACTGAAATCCTTCCAATGGTCCTGTTCTTTGTGTGGAATTCAAATGCTCTCAACCTCACTGTTCCTCCCAGCCGTGCACGTGTGTCCTAGAGTTTCCAGATAAAAACTCAAACAAAAATGGAATCTACCTGAAAGCAACATTGCAGCCTTCAATGTGGTAGCCCATGGGGAATTCTTTCCCTATAGCTTGCACTTGCAAGTGATAATTAAGGGGCAATCCTATGCTGAGTCACCTCCAGAAGAGCTTTAGGATAAAGAAAAAATATCTGGAGGTTAGACACAAAGACACATGGCATTCTGTAAAGGAAGTCTTCACACTCCTTTCAATCTGTTATCAATAAGTAGTCACTGAGCAAGCATCATCACGGTTTTTACCTTTGTAGTATAAATCATGCTGCTGATGTGGTCCAATTACCAGTAAGTTAGTATCCTAGTGATAGGGCTGACATAGCTGCTTGGCAGATATAGCTGAGAAGGAACAGCATACTTATAATGATATAAAGGATATCTCTCAGGAACAAGGACTGTCTTTAGAAACTGAAGTATTAGATCAGAAAGAGGGCATTTTGTAATTTTGATATTTTAGTTTTGAATCTGTCTGGAAGAGAAAAAAGTAACTTTCCTGAGGAAATAAGTTTCCCCAAACACAGAATTCTGAGATGACAGAAAGGTCTTAATGCCAAGATACTATATTCTCTTTCTGAATGAACATTATTGTATGTATAATGTCTGTCAATTAAAGCCTGTAAAAAGATACAGAATTTTAAAAACCTGGCTATCAGATGCTTCCGCTTAATGGAATATACAGCATCATCATCTCTGAAGAAAAACGAATGAAAAAACATACACTGTAACGACATGTAACGGCCACACTGGTCTCAGGCAGAAGCTACTTTCTACAGTTGAATATTTCAAGCTTCATTTTCAAGGTGGATGCCTTCCTCTTAAGCAAAATATGAGCCTTATAGTTCTATATACCACTTCCCACCCACATGGCTCAGTAATTTGCACTGGATTCTAGAAGAAGAAGAAGAAGAAGAAGAAGAAGAAGAAGAAGAAGAAGAAGAAGAAGAAGAAGAAGAAGAAGAAGAAGAAGAAGAAGAAGAAGAAGAAGAAGAAGAAGAAGAAGAAGAAGAAGAAGAAGAAGAAGAAGAAGAAGAAGAAGAAGAAGAAGAAGAAGAAGAAGAAGAAGGAGGGGGATGGGGGGAGGAGGAGGAGGAGGAGGAGGAGGATACAGATAACCAATGTTTAAAACCTTAATAAACGAGGCTGGGGAGATAGGGCTCAGTGATTAAAAGCACCCACATGGCAGATCACAACCATCTGTAACTCCAGTTCCAGGGGCTCAAACACCCTCTTCTGGCCTCCCTGGGTACCAGGCATCCACAAAGTACACATATATACGTGGAAGCACATTTACACGTGAGATAAAAATAAAACTAAAAAAAAAACTTGATAAAGATGGAAGCAACGGGCTTCTTGAAGAATGTTTACTGGAGGTCTTCAGGTAAGCAAGAGCTTACCCGTGAAGTGAAAGGAAAGGTATGTCAGGCAGAGGGAGCAGTTGAGAAAAGTAGGAGATGCAAAGTTGCATGGTACGGGGTAAGGCAATACAGCATTTAGACAGGCTATAAAGAAAGGAAGACACACAGAAGCCCACATGGGTGTCAGCATGGTAGTCAGGGAAGAGGAAACGAATGAAAAGGTTCCAGGCAGAGATGCTGTTTAAGTTTCCATGTTAGATGACTCATCTTGATAGCTTTCCATGTGAGAAATGAATGTGTATCAGAGATCAAAGGAGCATTTTAACAAGACATACTAGAAGGCTATCTCTTGATGCTCTAAGTTTCACAACTAGAGGAAACCAGAGGAGGTGAAAAATTACTTAATAAATGGGGTCATTGTTACAAAAAGTCACTGAATACTGAAGGACATCAAAAAAGTATTTTGATGTTTAAAGACAAAGGGAAAGCTGACAGTTGAATGACAGAAGAGACCAAAACTATGCTCTAGATGATGATGATGATGATGATGATAATAATAATAATAATAATACCACCCAAACAAAGGTCTACTTTGAAAGAGAAGAACTGAAGACCATATTGCAAAGGAAGAGAGGACAGAAAAAAATAAAAAGTTCTCCATGACTCTATACTAATCCTCCATTGCCTCCAGACAGGCCAGTCCCAAAGTTGTAAATTTAGTTTATTTTTGCTGTGTTGATTCTTGACTGAAATGTGTCAGTGCGTGTATATAGACAAGACATACTGATGATACCTTTTAGATACCTATTTCTCAGTGGTGGTGTAAACTATTACTCCTAGAATATTTTAGGCTGTTTTTCAAGTCTAGTGACTGAGCATGGAAGGGTAAGCTAAAATAGTCTTAGATATAGTAGATGCCACTCAGTGGGCACAGGGAAAATGAAGGAAGGGTGCTACCTGATATCAGTTATGTGTAAGTGCTGTCACATTAACTTTCATTACTGAAATATGCCAAGCTTCTACTGCGATGGGTGTAAAAACTTGCTGACCTTATCCTTACATCTCTTCCTCCACCACCACCTCAAATAATTCTAACACTAAAAAAATAAACGCACTAAAATTATTCAATCCACTCAAAGATTTATTTCTTACATCAGATTTTATTTAACTGAAATACAGTCTACATTTTTACATAACAAAAATTATTTGGGAGTGGAACAACTGGGTTCTGTATACACTGGCTCTATTGATCTGTCCAATGAATATATGTTTTATAAAATGATCACGTTTCTTAAGTTAACTGACTGATCAGGAATAAGGAAGAAATTGATAAAACATCTACATGCACGGTTAGTTCTAATGGTGTATCACATGTATGAAGATGCAAATCTAAGCAATGATACTAACTTTAACAAAAAAGATTTTACAGAGTATGTTTTAATTATAAAAGAAAGCTGAACTCCTTTTAAAGGGCTTTTGTACACATTCATGCTCTATTCTGTATGCATACACAAATGCATTTTATTTTGAAAAATCCAGTATTAGAATCAAATTAACAAGTTAGTTTTTAACTAACTGGAGGACTCACCATAGGACTCCAAAAGTACTCAATTCAGTTTTTAGATATTTACTCTGTACTTCTATATAGATTTGTGCCTCTATAATTTAAATAGTGTTAAGTATAGATATTTGGCTTATTGAAACTTTTTCACATTTCAATAGTTTTTATGTAAAACATAGAAGAATCAGTCCCTAATACTGTGTGTTATTATCAGAGAGACAAAAATCAGGCGAGGGATTGGAAACACTATATCCACACTAACCTAAAGTAAATCGCCCCAATCAATCCCACTGAGTTTGGTAACTTGAAGATTTCTGTTTCATGTTTCATCATTCTGTTCCCCTCTTGTGTCTGTTCCCTTATAAAGATTCTCTTCACTCAAGACTCCTACATTTGGTTGGAACCTCATAAAATTGAACTCTTTTCCTCCTCTGTGGATAGCTACAAAATTCTAACAGCAACAACACTGCGTGGAAGAAATACCCATATGTACCTTTAAAAATTATGTGTGAAAATTTACTTGCAATTACTTTACTCATTTTTGAAACATGATTTCTGTGACTTCTTAACCTTCTTCCTTCCAAGTCATAGATTATTTAATTGCTAAGAATTTTCTCTTCACAAGCCTGTATTTAATTAGCCTACACTATTACCTATCTTTTTATAATAAATTTGACTTATACTGACATAGTCAAAGACCTGGAACAACTAGTCAAGCATGAAATTTCTCTTAGCAGAGCATAATGATATTAAATGTTAGCAGTTTCTTTTCAATTAAAATCTTATTTCAAAAGCCTGGCATGGTGGCTCATGTCTGTAATCACAGCATGAGCTGAGGCAGGAGGTTTGTTACACATTTGAAGCCAGCCTGGGCTACATAGTGAATATGAAGATTGCCTGCGCTACAGAGGCCTTGTCTCAAGAAAGCAAAAACAAACAAGCATATTCCTGTTAGTTACTGAAGGAACTATAAAACTAAGTAGTAAAAAAAGATCTCCCTAAGATATGTATTAACACACATTCTCTCATGCTCCTCCAGCAGCATCATGTTTGTAAATAACCACTGAGCACCTATGCATGTCATACAGGCAGCAACAGAGAATATTCCAGTTGCTAAAGAAAGAAATGGTGCCTCATTATGACTCAGTACAATGGGAAGGTCCTTTATGAATACAGGATTCTAATATTCTCTGCTCGACTTATCACAGTAGTGATAAACTAGTGCCTTGCCCAAATCCCTATTCTCAATGTTTCATTACAACTGCCAACAGTAGATTTTCTTCCATCATTTGCAGTGCCAGACACATGGCTTAACCTAAGGCCCCAAGGTTCAAAATAACCATTGGGCAACTCTGCCTTTTCCAAGTGGCACTGGGAACAGAACCTAAGGCCTCAAGTACACCAGGAAAGTGCTCTACCACTAATCTATATATCCCTAGCCCTGTCTTTGAATTTTTATGTTAATAAGTAAATCTTTCAAAGTGCTTTTTACATCTCTAAAATCTATTAGAAGGCATTAAACATGACTAATGCAACCTTGTTTTATTTTCTCCTTTACTCCTTCAAGTCAAGCCATTCTCAAGATCACCTGCCTCAAAATCTTCAGTTCATTAGAAATACAGATTTACTAGACCCTATCCCAAACTTACAAATTCAAAATCTCAGGATAGAAGCCAAAGTCTATATTTAAAAACAAAACCCCAAGCTTTCCAGGTGATCCTTTGGTTTGAGAACCCTATCCTAAGTATTTTACAAAGCATCTGCCCAATTCTACAATTTCAGTTGCCTGATATTCTGAGCAACTGTGATGTCAGATGATTAGGGCAAGTTACATTAAGTTTTAGGGATTCTGACATGCTATCAATTATCTGTGAGTTGGATTCAAGAACAACCATGAAGAAAAGCGTTTAAGACTCAAAAAAAAGAAAAAAGTACCTGCAAAATAAAAGTTTGGACTGAACAGTATTTAATATTTATTCCAGTTCAAAAATTCCAGTTTTTTATTTTTTTTCTTTCTTTTTGATCTCATCTTAACAGGGCATAGAATGCAAAAACATTATTAAGGGAGTAAAAGGTTCCAATGCTACCTTTTTAATCTTGGCAGATGGCCCATAAAAAAATGCTCTGCGAATATGATTTTAACAAGACTGTTGAACAAAATCCTATACATTTATTCTTAAGTCCCTGTTCACAACCAGCCATTCTATTTAACTCAATTTTGTCTCAAGTGTTTGTTCTGATGTAACTGCACTTACATTTTAACACAAAAAATTATTTTTCGAAACAAAGATTAAAATAATGGGGTACTGGCCAGGTGTGGTTGGCATACACCTTTAATCCCAGCACTCGGGAGGCTGAGGCAGGTGGATCTCTGTGAGTTCAAGGCCAGCCTGATCTACACAGTGAGTTCCAGGCCAGCTGGGGCTAACAAGGAGATCGTCTCAAAAAAAAAAAAAAAAAAAAAAAAAAAAAAAAAAAAAAAAAAAAAAAAAAACCCAACAACAAAAACTCCCAAATAATAGGGTATTGGTTGTAATTTGGTGTATAAAGAACAAAAGGCAGGAATAAGAGTAGTACTCAGACTGAGGGCTTCCCTAAGCCCATTACATATACCATAACAAATTAATTCACATCTGTACCATCAGGGTATTCACAATAAAGTAAAATAACACTGACTTCCCTGACAGATATACAGACTGCAGTTTTTAGTCTACCTCTGCCAAATGCTAACATTTACCATGATTCCAGAAATTTTTTTGGATATAGCAACACTTAGAGGGAAAAATGAAATATGCGATCTATAAAACAGAAACGGTGAGGGAATGCCTACTAAGTAGCCAGCTCAGGCTGATGCACAGATCGGAAGGTGGACAATGACACGAGTGGAATGGAGCATCTGTAAAGCTGGTACCTGAGGACAGCAGGGGTGAGGGAAGGCAGAGGGCCGATGCACCTAGCTGTAAACCTCACTACTCTGTTATGGGCAATTTGATAAAAATTACAATTTTTTATTGTTAAAACTTAAAAGCCTGGTAACTGGCACAATTTGTCAGCACAGAGGACAAGAATTTCATATTAAGCTGTAACAGACCTTGGCCGAAGTTCCAAAATGTCACCCACACCACCTGCACAGCCATCTATGGGCCTCGTTCTCCCATTTTACTCAGAGGAACCTTGACCCCCTTGCTCACAGTTTAGCTGCACAGCCCCCTTAGCATGTGGTAAACGTTATCAGGCAGCCTCCAGCTCTTAGGACTTCCATAGCATTCTGCTGTTCAGAGCTCTCCAGGGCTGTACTACTTACCCCTTCACTTCCTTCTATTCCATCAGTTGCTTGGTTTTCGTTTTAATACTTCATTATTTTTATTTTATGTGCATGAGTATACTGCCTGGATGTAAGTGCATCTGTGATGTGCAATGCCTGCAGGTCTGAAGATTGTGTTGGATTCTCCTGGAATTGCAGTTACACACAGTAGTTAGCTACCATGTGGGTGCTGGGAACAGAACTCAGGTCCTCTGCCAAGAGCAGCCAGTGCTTTTAACCACTGAGCCATCCCTCCAGCCCTGGTGTTTTTGTTTTTTAATATTTTACTTATTTTTATTTGATGTGTATGGGTATATTCCTTGCCTGTAGGAAGGTGCACCTATGTTGTACAAGGCCCTTGGAGGTCATAAGAAGGTATCAGATCCCCTGGAACTGGAGTTACAGATGGTTGTTAGCCGCCATATGGGTGCTGGGACTCAAACCCATGTCCTCTGCAAGAGCAGTCAGTGCTTTAAGAAGCAACATCATAACTGACCAAGACACACAAGCAACTAGCCCTCAAATATATGACACTGTGAAACAGGCCAAAACAAGGTGCTGCCACGTGATGATACTGCATTCTTGTAGGAGGGTGGGAAATTTCACAAGATTATTGTCATTCTAAATGAGAATTTAAACAAGGAACAGAAGAACACGAGAGCATTCTAGGCAGTGAGAAGAGACACATATGTCTGTCCATTCATCTAATTCTGCATGTGCCAGGTGCTGCAGACACAAGGTGGAAACTGGTCCCACCGAGCTTAGGCACAGCGCCAAGGTTGTAGCTCACTGGTATAGTACTTGTCTAACATGGGTTTGATCCCTGGCATGGGGGTAGGGGTAAGGGGAGGAGGAAAGCAGCCTCAGTCACATGAGTGGAAAATGAGTCAGCTGTTAACACAGTGGCTTGATAAAGTGAATAGGCTGAGTATGGTGGCACATGCCTTTAATCTTTGCACTAGGAAGAATTCCAGGCCAGCCTGATTTATATAGCTAGTTCCAGGCCAGCCAGGCTATATAGTGAGATTTTGTCTCGATTAAATTAAAAAAAGAAAAATAGTGAATAGATCAGAACTCTCAAACATGCTCATGAGACACTGTGGTTTTGATGTGATTCTGTCACAGTATCCAAAAATGCCTCAACCCTAAGAAATTAACCCAAAATAACTGAAACAAAGTGAAAGCAGTGTAAGATTAAACAGGAGTTTGGGTTTTGTTTTGTTTTGTTTTTTTTGGTAGCATCTGAACTCAGTTTTGACTTATCAGTAGAGAAATGCCTAAGTTGGACAGAAGAAAACACATGACACATTCAGAGAGCAGAGGTCTACAAACTAAAACCGAACAATATATGCAAGAGACTATATGTGGTCCACAAAGATTAAGGTATTTGTCATACGGACCTTTAAAGACAAAGTTCACCAAGCCTAGCGTGTTCATAGGTGGCTGGAGTTCTGGTGAATAATAAAGAGGTTAAGAGGAGGCTAAAAACTCTGATTGGCATTGAAGTCTGTAAATAGCAGGAAAAGGACTTGTTACCCTCCTAGGAGGAATTCTAACATTCAATAAGATTGAAGGGGAAAAAGAAAATCAGTCATATACATACATATATATATATATAATTTTTGGTCTTTTTTGAGACAGTTCTCCCTGTAGCCCCAGCTGACCTGGAACTCAGTATGTAGACCAGACCGGTCTTGAACTCACAGAAATCCGCCTGCCTCTGCCTCCCAAGTGCTGACAAAAGTATGCATCACCACACCCGGCTTGGTCACAATTTTTTTTGTCCTTTTTGAGACAGGGTCTCCTCTTGTAGCCCCAGCTGTCCTGGAACTCACTATGTAGACCAGGCTGGCCTCAAACTCACAAAGATCCGCCTGCCTCTGCCTCCAAGTGCTGGGATTAAAGGTGTGCGCCACTATGCCTGGCCTTACAATATTTTTTAGAGTAACAACTTAAACTCTTACAATCCTGAGAAGTAACAATTAACTAGTTATAGAGATCAGAAAAAAGTTAACATGGATTAAGAAACTTGTCCTTAAAACATAACATTACTGCAGGGTGTGGTGTTTCATGCCTGTAATCCCAGCACTCGGAAGACTGAGGGAGGAGGGTTGTCTTAAATTCAAGGCAACCTGGACTAAGTAAGTGAACACCAAGCCAGCCTGGGCTACACAGAAAGATCTTATCTCAAGGAAAGATGGCAAGACAGACAGACAGACAAAGGAACAAGCCAGGTGCGGAAGTGTGTGCCTGTAATTCCACTTATGAGATACATAAAGGAGGGTCAATTTAACCCTGGTAACAGTAAATTTAAAGCTAATGTTGAACACTAGAAGAAACAAAACTTGCAAAACACGAACAAGTCTAGAAAGATAGGGCAACTGACAGGTACACTGAGACAGAAAATAAGGTTCCACATTCCTCCGGTGTTGGGCTGATGGTGGAACACACTGGAGGATGGAGGACTTCCCAATGCAATGTTGGGCAGCCATTTCAGTCTTCTCTGAGTGACTGCATTCCCCACAGCCCCCTCCTTCAAGGTCCCAGGCTTTGCCTCTTTGGAGAATTGCTTCTCAGGAATGGACATCCCACCTCCCTTAATGGCCAGCTATGCTCTCAACTTCACACATGGTCCTGGGCATCTGGACCTTGAGATTGGACCTTTTCCGTTCCCAGGCACTAAGATGTTATGTATCATTTTTCTAGTACTCTCTACAACCCCAGTGTACCTTCACTTGTGCTCCACAGAAAATGTAAATCACCTAACTGAACTTCCAGAGATAAAATTCACAGTCTGGAAAATTAAAAAATGAAAAGGAAAGAGGGAAAGAGGGAAGGAAAAGAAAAGATCTAGAACAGAAGTCACTATCTTGTTTCCCAAAAGAGAAAACTCAGAAATCCAACCAAACAAGAACTTAATTTGCCTTTCCCTTTAGTGTTCAATAACAAGGACAGTAGCTTGTTGTTCTATACAGACAAAAAGACAAGAGAAAACTGCAGTATGCAACATCAAGTCATAAGAAGCTCAAGGCCAGACTTGGCTACATGAGACTGTCTGAAACCTACCACCACCCCCAACCCCCCAAAAATCCCTCCAGCAAGCTTCCACAAGCTGTTAACAAAAGATCTGGAACCAACCCACTGCCACTCACTCCTTCATTTCATACCAAAGGACTAAAAGGAAGGAGCTGGATTCCTAGTTCTTCCACAGCTGGAGTGACCGTCAGCCTCTCATTTACTTCCATCAACTCTGGAGATAAGGGGGAGTGCCTTGCAACAAAAATGTCAGTGCCATCTAACAGAATACAGACCAGCCACTAGGCCATTAAAGGTTCAGAAAACTACAGTCAGAAAATGATGCCAGATCTACAAGTCACTCGTGGCATATACATCATAACAGACTTTAAGAATTCTATTCTTGGAATTTGTTTTTCAGTTTCAAAACTGTATTTACACTGAGTTCATCATCTGACCATTCCATTTTTCCTAAATGTAGGCCTTCTCTGCTACATTATAAACTCTGAAATTAATGATCTTTTCATTTCTGCTATCCCCAAAGTATCTACAGATTTTAGGTACAAAACATTAAATAAACACATTAATTCATTCTCAACATAAGTGATATGTACCACTAAAACCAAGCTAATCATGATGATTCATGAACAGAGGTTTCCCTTATTAAAACAACAAACTCTCCAGTGCTGTGACCGGGAATCCTGGCCTGGTGAACACCTAAGTGGACGTGTGCTTTCCTAGATCGTTCTTTGTCTCAACTTCACAGCATCTCTTTAGCAAAGTCAAACTTGCATTCTGTTAAACTCAAGAACCTGTTAAACTCAAGAACCTATGTTTTATTCAGGAATTTGGAAGGTAGGTCCAAAATTTCAGTGTAATTACAAATACATCTCATAAAAAACTAAATGGGAGAATTCTCTGTGATAACTTCCCAATGTTTTCATTAAAAACTTAAGAAAAGGGTAAACCAAACTTTATAGAAAAACTGTATTTACAACTTTCATTCAAAAGCAGCTTTAAAAGCAAACACAATAATGAGGTTGAAGATTTTATGCTCAACAAGAGTTGCCAAGTTGAATAAATTAACAGAATACTGCATCAAAAATAAGGCAATAACCCAAGATACAGGCCATTAAAAATTTCTCCACTCCCATCACTAGACAGAACTAATCTGTCTAGTAGCAAATGATAGATACTTCATTCACTTTTAGTACATGTGAAGTCCTTAAGGACAGAAGTGATAAAGATGTGATCGTCATTCTCCTTAGACTCTAAAATACTTGCAGGAAAATAATTTCTAAAGCACAAAGAGGTAAAGAGGTATAATCTTTCAAAAAGGTATTCAGTGTTCAAAATTCAAGAATGTGATACAATACACGATGGGCATTAGTGAACATATGCAATACAGTGATAGCAAATTTATTTAGTACTTTTTCCATTCCATATCATCAGGAGGATTGATTTCAACTTTCCTTTTACCTACATCAGACCAGTTGGTACTCAAAACTGTACCACCAGACTCCATCTGTAATAAAAAAATTTTAAAAATAAAGATTAATTCCTGGATTATATTAATCAAAGTAGAGTATATTTCCTTAAAATGGACTAAATATCAACTCCCCAAAACAGGCTATTACAAAGAGCTCAACATAAACCCAAACCAGTATTTTTATTTCCTCTTGGGTTTTCCAGAGAAGTTAACAAGTTACAAGAAATCTGACAAGGAAATTCTGGAGTAACTAGGTAGAAACATCATGTATACATACTCTCCCATATTAAGGACCATGCATTCTGCTATCAGTACAGAGATATCATGTGGAAAAACAAGCATCAAATGGAAATAAAATTGGCTACCAAAGAAAGTGATGTAATCTTTTTTGAAAATAGTAAAAGCCGGGCAAAATAAACTTTCTATGACAATTAAATAGAACTTTAAGGGTCCACAGTTAATGATCTGTCTTGTGCCAAACAACAGAGGTAAACAAAGTCAAAATCCAGTGAACTCGTTACCTATCTATCATCCAGTGAATACACAACCTAACAATAAGTATGTTCATATGGTCATGTGCTACATAATGAACTGTACTTACTATAGTGATACCATGAGATTATAACCCAGCTAAGAAATTCTGGTTGCCTAGTGATGTGCAATCCGTAGCATAACACATCACTCTAGTGTCTATGATGATGATGATTTAATCAAGTCTGTTGTGCTGCCAGTCATATAAAAGCATATCACATATAATTACATATAGTACACAATACCGGACAGCAAATATTCCTAGTTTAAGTATTTACTAAGCTACACTTTTTATTGGTATTTTGGGACATTCACCAAAAAAGTCTACCATAAAAGAACAGTCCATGTTACACTGGCAGGAATCTCAAACTTCTGTTCACTTTACTTTTGATTATGTCAAGAGTTCATATCAGGCTGGGGGTAGAGGTCCATATAACAACACATGCTTGGCATGTGCAAAGCTCTGGGTTCAATCCCCAGCAACACACACACAGAAGAGGCCACATCAAGTGACTAATCTATACTATCCAGATTTATATAATATATTCAATGATGTTGCATAATAGTGAAAATCACCTAACACATTTCTCAGAACATACCCTGTGTTAAGAAATAAATGTGTCTTAAAGAAACAATACTTCCATATATTTCTTGCAGTAAAAATTCACAGACTTGGATCCCAGCAGAGTATGGTGTGAATTACTGAAACCTAAAGTCTTTTAAAAATAATTATCTATGAGTTGGGTATGGAGATGCACGCCTTTAATACCAGCACTTGGGAGGCAGGGGCAGGCGAATCATTGTGAGTTCGAGGTTGGCCTGGTCTACACAGAGTTCCAGGCCAGCTGGGGCTATAGGAAGACCTCATCTCAAAAAGAGCAAAAAAAAACCCAAAACAAAACAAAACGAAAAAAACCAAAAAACCCCCACACACCTGAATTACTTACAAATACAGAAAGTTATCTACTCTACTGAATTAGAAGCTCAAAGTAACCCCTACCCTCTGCTAAATTCTCTTAAGTGAGTTTCTCTGAATAGGGTGCTATTCGACATCCCAGTTTTTATATATATATATATTTTTAGTGATGTTCCGAACATGAAGGTCAACATCTCTTGGTGGCTTTGATAGTTTTTAAAAATTACATTCATTCATTTATTTAGTGTAGTATGCACACATGTGTGAGCATGTGCATGTCATGGTGCACATGTAGAGGTCAAGAGGATAACTAGAGGGATCATGAGGCACCCAAGGCCAGAAGCTCAGATGATCAGACTTGGCAGCAAGCACCCCTACCTAAGCCATCTCATCAGTCTAATGACTCTTAATTATCAAGTTCTACTCCTACAGAATCTGTTATCTATATGAGCATGACTACCATAAACATGCATTGTACCTTTGGATTTAAGGATCTGCCTCCTTTTCTCTTTTTTAAAGTATTTTATTATTTTTCTTGTATGAGTGTATCGCCTGCATGTAAGTGCACCCATGTAGTGCGATGCCCTCGGAGAGGGCATCAGATCTCCTGAAACTGGAGTTATGAACTGTTGTTAGCTACCATGTGGGTGCTGGGAATCAAACCCAGGTCCTCTCAAGAGCAGTCAGTGCTCTTAACTGCTGAGCCATCTCCCCAGCCCCTTTTGTTTGTTTTTGAGACAGTCTTGCCATGTAGCCCAGAGTGACCTTAAAACTCACAATCAGAGCTGGAGAGTTGGCTCAGGCAGTTTAGAGCATTTGCTGCTCTTGCAGAGGACCCGGGTTCTATCCCCAGTACCCACATGGCAGCTAAGAACCTTCTGTAACTCCATTTCTAGGGGATCCGATGCCCTCTTCTGACATCCATGGGCATCGTACAACATGGGTGCACCTATCTATATGCAAGCAATACACTCATACACATAAAATAAAAATAGTAAATAAAATATACATATTTAAAAAACTATACAACAATCTTCCTGCCTCAGCATCTCAAGTACTAGGATTACAGGTATGCACTACCATCACACCCACCTAAGAGTTTGCTTCCTAAAAGAAAACACCTCTTCAAAGCCACAGAATATATTTTACCAATATAATTGTTCCTTGGTGATATCTATAGAAATTCTAGGCATATACCTGCCTCAACACACAGCAAAATCTGCAGGTACTTCAAGTCTTATATAAAACAGTGCAGAATTTGCAGAGGACCTACAAAATTCTTCAAATCACCGCTAGAGTACTTACAATATCCAATACTCTGAGACAGGTACCTGTCATGCTGTCTTATTTAAGGGACGACAAGTAAAACGTCTGTATACTATATATTCAATACAAATAAAACTTCCCACCTAATACTTTCAAATCACAAGTTAGCTGAACCCACAGATGTGGAACCTGTGCACAGAGAGCTTAATGTGCTTATACTGTAGTTCTAAGTGAAGGTGGCTGGCACAGAGTAGACCTCAAACAAAACGACTGAATTAAATGTGACAAGTCTGTAAAATAAACCACCCCAAGAGGACCCTGTTATAAAATTCACAGAAGTGAATTTAGTCTACAACCTGGTCACAGTCACTAATGACACTTATTTTCCTCCTTTCTCTTCATAGTATATAGTACAATTTAACATTTCGCTCTCATTTTATACATTGACCATAGAGGACAAAGTCTATTTTGTTTTCCCACAAAGGCAGAAGCAAGTGTTCAGTATATTTTAGGTCAACAGACAACGTTCATATAACATGGCTCATATCAAAGTTTTGGTATAGAAAGGGATATAGATTCTGTAATGCCTCTCTGATGTGACTCACTGCTATTCTATCTAGCACACTTTTTAAAGTCAATAGTGAGTACGGCTTTCCTGTCTGGGAAGAGTGAGTAGACATATTTCTCTAGTAAAATTCAAATAATTACATCTTCAAGAAAAATAATGGCTGGGCAGAGTAGCACACATCTATAATCTCGGTACCTAGAAGATGGAGGCAAGAGGATCAGGGGCTGGAGAGATCGCTCAGTGGTTAAGAGTGCTGGCTGCTTTTGCAGAGGGATCCAGGTTCAATTCCCAGCACCTACACGGTGGCTGACAACTATCTGTAACTCCAGTTCCAGGGGATCTGACGCTCCCTTCTGACCTCCATGTGCACTACACAACACAGGTGTACTTACATACACCAAGAAATGTATTCATAATGTAAAATAATTAATTTTTTAAGTCTGAAAATCTACCTAGTTCTACAGTGATGAACTGGAGTCATACTTCTGGGGGCATTCATGCTGTTCTACAAAACCTAAAGTTTCTTAATCGAGAAATTAAACCAGTGAAAGTAAATGTACACTAATAGCCATACACTGTTCTAGAAATTTCCCTTCTATGTTTGTCATCTCTAACAAAAAGACAATGGATGATTTTAGAAGATATAAACAATGGAAGCTCATTAAGCTACTGTGAGAGATTCAGCTATAGTAATTCCCTATCACTGTAATCTTGGCTTGCCTTGGCCTTCGAACCTCTAATTCATAAATGAGTTACAATAAACCACTTTTTTCTCATCTCTTCCACGAGTTTTGGACTTCTTCAACAGTTACTCTAAGTTTAAAACAAGAAGAAATGTTCAGTCAGTCTATACAAAAGTCTCCCAGTTATACAGCACATACAGTTTGGTCTCAAATGAACTACTTATTTTTTTCCTTAAATGTCTAAAATCTACTCCCATCATAGTTAAAGAAAATGTTTAAATTCTTACAAATGATTTGTTCATGGCACGTTTTACTTCATCAGAACCATCTGAATAGATCTGCTGAAATAATTTGTTTAAAGCTGCGTCACCCTCCAGCTTCTCATTCTTTTCTTCTTCTTTGATCTCACCAACCAATTTATCCCAATTTCTTGTATAATGAGATGATGATGGATATAGGTTCTTTACATCTATGAAGTAAAAAGGCAGAAGTGATTAATCACCATGCTTTGATTACGTCAAGAATATGTTAAATGCTATGACCATGGTGTACAGCACATCTTAGCAAGTAGTTTAGGGCACTGAATTTCAAGTTTTCAGTATGTATCTTTTTGATACATACACCAATAATCTTGATTTACATTTCTAAAACAATCAATTAGCATAATGCAAAATCTAGAATTTTCCTTAAGCAAAATAACTCAATAAAGTGTACTTTGTAAAAGGATTTTATTTTTATTTTTAATTATTGGTATATGTGTTATGGGAGGGCATGGTATATGCAAGTGAGTGCAGGTAGCCAAGGAATACAAAGCTGGAATTATAGGTAGTTGTGAGCTGCCTGACATGGATGCTGGGAGCTGAACTTGGGTCCTCTACAAGAACAGTACATACTCTTAATGGCTGAGTCATCTCTCTAGCTCCAAGGTGTACACTTTTGATACATTCATTATACAAGGCTAGATTAAAAGCAAATTATTTATACTAACCACAGGGGAAGCTGAGTTAAGTATACCGAAACTTTGTTTTGTTTTTTTGAGACAGGGTCTCCCTGGAGCCCCAACTGGCCTAGAACTCACTTTGTAGACCAGGCCTCCATCTCACAGAGATCCACCTGCCTCTGACTCCCAAGTGCTGGGATTAAAGGTGTGCACCACCACGCTCAGCTTACAGAAACATTTATGTTGAGAGAAAAATCAGTCAGGAGGGTGAGGCAGGAAGAACTAAGTTTGTAGTCTGGACTATGTGGTACATCTGAAGTTAGAATGGACTACATGAGAATTGTCTCAAGGAAAAAAAATAGGAAAGAATGAAGGAAAGATAGGGAGGGAAGAAAAAGAAAAGTTAAAAAAGGACTGACAAGATGGCTGAGCAGGTAAAAGTGCTCGGGTTTTTGACAACCTCAGTTCAATCCCCAGAACACACAAAAGGTGGAAGACCTCCAGTGCTGTCCTCTAACTCCACATGCATGAATGGCATGCATGCCCCAATTTTTTTTTAAACGGAAGCCAAGATTTACAAAGTAAGAGTTAAAAGACAGTACAAATAATTATGCTGCCCCCAATATTTTTTATACGCAAGCGAGAAAAGATATAAAAAGAGAGAAAAAACAGAACACAAAAAAATTTAAATACAGACCCACACACACACACACACACACACACACACACACACACACACACACAAAGATGCTTCATGCTGGGCATGGTGGTGCACACCTTTAATCCCAGAACTTGGGAGGCAGAGGCAGGTGGATCTCTGTGAGTTCAAGGCCAGCTGGGCTATACAGCAAGTTCCAAGTCAGCAGGGGCTACAGGGAGACCCTGTCTCAAAAAAGACCAAGAGGCTGGGGACGTAGATCAGTAGTGGAATGCTTGCCTAGCATGTGCAAGGTTCTTGGTTCAACTCCAAACACTGCCAAAAAAAAATAATAACCACATCCCATTATAAAATGTCTTTCAAGATTTTATTATTGAGAGTGCAGCTTTTCTGAGACACTTATGTAATCTTTCAGAATACAAAGGCTCTGAAAATAAAATCACCTGCCACATAGTGAGTTAGACTCCATCTCCTCCACAAATAAAAAACTTAAGATTACTCTAATAGGACATATTAAGGAATTCCTGAATCCTGAAAAATACATTTACTGACCCACACCTTAATTCAGTTATTTGAAAATAACCACACACAACCCATCAACAGTACAAAAAACAAACAGAATCTGAGAAGCACATCTGAATAAGCAGAAGCTACTGATCCTGAGGCTCAAGGAAAAACCGGGGCTGTGCTAAGACCAAGGCACATAGATAACTAAAAAATAACTAAATGACCTACCAGGCCTGAGGGCAGCTATTCACTGTCTAACGAAAATATAATAAGGGCTATGAATGTGAGCTGCATACATGATTTTAATAGTTCTAGCAGCATGTGATGAGAAAGAACTAAGATTAGATACACTTTAGTTTTTAAAATTACATTAATTTATTTATTTGTGTATGTGTGTGGTGTGTGTGTGCATGTGTGCACATCATGACTTCCACATGGAGGTCAGAGGACAAACTGCAGGAACTGGTTCTCTCCTTCCATCATGTGGGTCCTGGGGATCAAACTCACGGTTGAGCTTGGCAAATGCCTTTATCTGCTGAGCCATGTCACCAGTCTCTTAATGTATTTTTTAACCTACCACAGCAAAAAATAGAATTATTTCAACATGAAGTCAATAGGAAAACATTAAAACACTTTTTTTTTTTTTTGGTCTTTTTGAGACAGGGTCTCCCTATGGCCCCAGCTGTCATGGAACTTACTATGTAGAACAGGCTGGCCTTGAACTCAGCGATTCGCCTACCTCTGCCTCCCAAGTGCTGGGATTAAAGGCGTGCGCCACCACGCCCAGCTAAAACACGTTTTTTAAAATATGCATCTCCAGGGCTGGAGAGATGGCTCAGCGGTTAAGAGCACTGACTGCTCTTGCAGAGGACACAGGCTTGATTCCCAGCACCCACATAGCGGCTACGAAGTGTCCTTAACTCCAGTTCCAGGGGAATTTGAAGCCCTCTTCTGACCTCCGCGGCATTGCACAAAACAGATAAATTCACATACATGCAGGCAATACACTCATACACATAAAAAATAAAAATAATAAATAAAATATTTTTAAAAATACACATCTTCAAAATCAGGTATGCACTTTTCATCTCAATGCAGACTAATCCTATTTCAAGTGCTCAACAGCCAGCAGCTACTGAACTGGTTGGCATAACTTTCAGTGCTTTAAAAAAAATCTGACTCAAAATTTCCCTGTCACATTAGGGTACAGTAATACTAATCTAAATGTTCCTTTGCCAGTAATGCCTTTTTATATCACTTTTCTTAATAGTTGAAAAACTACTACATATTCATTCTGTTTTTCCATTCCTTCTTTTTAATCTATAAATAAACCTTTTTTTGGGGGGGTCCATCCTTCATCAAAACAAAACTATATCCAGTAAGAACTGGTACCTTCCCTGTACTGGAAAGCCTATCTTTGAACATTTTCACTGGTAGCCAAGGAAAACAAAAAATGTATGCCATGATAAATTAAGAACCTGGGCAACATGGATTTAATTAATTCTAATGCTGACTCCCAGGAAGAATGGGACTAGAAGTTTTAATCTCTATTTTACAGATAAGAAAGCTGGCCCAGATAGGTTAAGTGACTTGCCCTTATCTACGGACTCCAGCTTGCCATACACAGGAATCTGACAAGCATATTAATTCATCACAAAACATAACAGGACAGGAGGGAGAACATCTTAAACCTCTAAGGTATTCTTGTTAGAAAAAACCTTACTAACTGTAACACTTAAAAAAAAAAAAAAAAAAAACCCTTGATATTTAATCTCATAAAAACTTTAGTATTTGAAAACAGTAGGTGAATTACTAAGAGTTAATCTAAGTTCCTTAGTCATTCACTTTATCAAACACTGCAAAGATACCTGTGACAGCAGAGACCATCTCCACAGTCAGAAAATGTATCATGTAAGCAATATCACACATGGAGCTACCAGAAGAACCAGACCATACTCTGTAGCCCTGCATTTTAGTCCTAGACAAATCTTAAGGTGCTTAGACTTTCTGAGCCTATAAAACCGAAGAAATAATACTGGGCTGCCTATTACATGAGGTTACTGTTAGGAGTGAGACACTACATTTAAAGTAAGTTGTAAAAAAGCTGCACACTATAGAAACCTCAGTCCCAAATCTCTGGGCATCAGTTTAAAGAGATGGCCAAAGAATATCTACTCTTTGAAATATCAACTACAAATCATCTGCAATTCTCCCTCCGTCTCCCTCCCCCACCCCTGCTAAATTTGCTACAGACTAGTTAAAATGCTACCACTGGACGAACAGTCCAGAAACACTTTGACTTTTGTAACTTCTATGTATGTGTGAAATTAGTCCTAATACATACACAATCTGTTGAACACTCACTTTCTAAAAGTTGTCACAAGCAAGTGTGTTTTCTATTATAGAAGTAGTAAAAATTTCAAAATAGCTGAGAAACAGTGTCAGCTTGTTTCAGTCATCAAATCAGAGCATTAAATAACAGATCAAAAATAAATTTCTCCCTATTCAATAATAAGGATGTTATACCAAACTATAATCTTGGGTTGCAGTTTTAAGAGGGTCCTACAAATTAATTATGCCATTAGAAAAAAATGCTCATCTGCTTATTGTATATGCTTGCCTGTCCTCTGCTTTTTGTCATATAACAAAAAGTCACATAATCACCTCTAGTTTTCCACCCTTCCAGGCCTTCCATAGGCACTCTTTACCATTTTGTGCCCATCTCTTAAATTAGTGATAGGGAGAAATGGGCTAGATGCCTTACTCTGGTGATGTCTTGAAATTCCAGAAATTTAGAGGTGACATCAGTAGGAGAGACAGAAAGGAATAAAGGAGAGGAATAGGAAAAAGGAGGAAATATATCAGCAGAGCAAACTAACTTACAATGAAAGAAAAAATAAGCAATATGCTTCTTCAACTAATGGCACAAACTGATGTGGTAAACAATTCCAACTCCACTAGGCATTGGCTGCCATTCATGTGTATTTAAGTTTTAAAAATTAGAATAACTTTGCTATACTCAATGTATCTTTTCTTGAAAACATAAAGTAGGAAGGATGCTCATTACTATTTCATTTCAACTACACAATGAATTTAAAGCTCAGCAATACCAAATACAAACCTGCTATGAACTGTTTTGGTGTGGGTACATCTCCTTGCCCCTCTAGCTTTTCCCATCTCACAGCCTCTGGCTTTTTCATTTTAATCTCAATCTGGAGGAAACACCAAATAAAAATCCATCAATCAATGCAAAATACCTAAAACAGTAAAAATGCAATTTTCCTCAGTCATCAAAGTTTTATAAGAATTAATAGTGTCTTTGACAGTTTGCTTAAATTATACAAAGTTAAATCTGAAGCATTATAAGACATTTACTTTGTTTCTACTCTTAAAAATTTACTCTTCAAAAAGCAACACACATATTACATGAGCTATAATTAAGAGTCCTGAAACTTGGGCTGATGAGATGACTCAGTGGGTAAAGGTACTTTGCCACTAAGCCTGATGTTCTGAGTTCAATCCCTGGAACTCACATGGTGGAAGGAGAGAACAGACTCCCAAAGGCTGTACTCTGACCTCCACATACTCTAAATAAAATAGTTTTAAAGAGTCTTGAAATCGAAGGGTTTACTTTTCTTTTCTAGTGGTGTTCTTAAACAGGGATGGTTCTACCACCTAGAATACATATGGCAATAGCAGCAGATATCCCTGCTTGTCACAAACTAGGGATAGAGAAATACAGACACCTAGTGAGAAGAGACCAAGGGATACTTCCAAACACCCTATAATGAACAGGGCAACCCCCTGCAACAGATCCACACAGCGCCAATGTCAGTAAAGCTACCTCTGAGAAATCTTGTTCTCAAGGAACTACACTCACACAGGCACTAACCTGTTTTAGAGGAACTTACACCACTGCATAAAAATAATACAACTAATGCTGACAATTTTGTAATCATTCATTAAAAATACTAGTGCATCCCTGACCATTTAGAAGTTAGGTACTTGAAAAAAAATAAGATAGAAGTAAATGAAAGTTGGTGTGGTAATGAAGGTGTGTAAGTAACCCAAGCTACTCAGGAGGCTGAAGCAGGAAGCTTGCAAGTTCAAGGCTAGCCCTGAGATGTAGTACAAGCTCAAGGCCAGCCTGGACAATTCTGCCAAGATCTTGTTTCAAAATATACAAATAGGTATATGTAAATGTGTGTATACATATACATATATCCGTGGTAGGGAGCTGCTGTGAAAGAAGGCAGGGAAAAGGTTTAGGACAGAACACTATAAAGAAAGTTTCACACATTTTGAAGGTCTTTGAAGAGTGGACTTGTTTGGAAACAAATGGAGTAAGTCTCTAAAGGCAAAGGGAATGGCCTAAAATGGAGGTATGGGGAATGAAAAGACACAGCATCACAAAGTATAGAGGACCAATCTGCCTCAAGTCCAGGATATGTCAGAGCAGGAAAAACTACATATGGAAAAAGAGGTAGAAGGCAGACTACAAAGTTTCTGAATGCTAAGTTAACTTGTGACTATTTTCCTAATATCACCTTTTAATTAAGGTTGGGCTCTAGAATTCACCCTTATTACTGTGTTGTATGATTTTGCTGGGAAGACATAAACATCTGCTCACACCAAATAGATAGGAAACTGATAGAGCAAAGAAGGGATTCCATCCAAGCCCAGCTTGAACGAATGTTCAAGTTCATGTGCTACAAACTGTCTCATAGTCTCATTTAACCTGAACAGCAGCATACATATAGCACTCCAACTTACTGAAAGCCACCCTAACCTTAGTAATTGTGCAGGATGAACAAAGAAGTGTTATAAAGTCAAAGTCACAGCTCTTAGCAACAACCTGTCTCAACTGAGATGAGTTGACCCGAACTTGAAATGTTTAATCCAGTCATTAAAACAGCATGTAATAAATTGTTTTAAACAGCTTTTAATAAGGTTAAAAAGAGGAAAGGACTAATTTTCTGTGAATTCCCTTTAATACTTCACACTTTTAATGCTTGCATGCTTTTAAAAATGAAGTTTAAGCCAGGCCTGGTGGCACACACCTTTAATCCCAGAACCTGGAGGCAAAGGCAGCCTGGTCTACATAAGCAAGTTCCAGGCCAGCAGATATATATATATATGGCTTAAGTATTCTTCTCAAGTACACAGGGAAGGCTTTCAAGACACCATCCTAAAGCATTATCTACAGGTTATTAGTAAGAATCCATACTGTGCTTGGTCATCAGCTCCTACAATTTAAACTACCTCTGAGGACTCTGCTATGTAATAGAAAATGCATTAATTTTTCTCAATAAAAGACACTTATACCACTGTAAGTCCTAAGCGATCACGACATCTAGGCACTGCCTTCTTAAGAAGTGCTAAGACCCTACTCAATGCTACAAACTTGGGGAAGGACCTTTCCCAGAGCCTAAAGTGCTGTGGCTGTTTCCTGGAAAATTTTTGAGAATCATTTGCTTCGTGGCTGCAGTATTTAACAACTGTTCCTTACTCTTCAGAATGCAGCCTTCCCAGTGTTCTCATACTCAGTTCTTGGCAGAATTAATCAGCACACCAAATCCCTTTGCTGTTAGAGCAGTACTTTAGTCTTTCTGAGACCAGACAGAAAAATCTACCTTCACTCTTACACTCAAATCATCTAACAATCATTTTTTTTACATTTTTTACTTACCTGGGGGGAGGAAGGAATGTACCAAAGCAGGCATGTAAAAGTCAGATAACAACTTGTAGAAGTCAGTTCTCCCCTTCCCATCTAACTGCTTAATTTTAATATTTACTAAGTGCCTAGACTGAGTTGGGCAATCTGTTGGTATACAGGACAAAGGTTTGGTTCTTTTCTCCATTATTTTATCTTTTATTAACCACCAAAATCCTTATTTTCTATTACTCTTCTTAAAGAGACATTAAGTTACAACAACAAATTCCCAGTGTACATCATACATGCTGGGAAACAACTACTCAGAATCTGGAAGTACACTAAAATGTCATCGTGTTCAGTGAAAGAGAGCCACACAGTGGGAAGGATATCTTCATGTCATCTGCCATAGAAGTTATTACTCTCTCACTTTCTTATATACTTCTCCAACTTACTCTTCAATGACTACATATTTTATGTGTTGTTTTACATATGCCATCTTATGTAAGAGAACCACCCTACAAAAGATTACTATCCCTGTTTCATTTGGGTGTAGTACATGAATGGGTGCATGTGTGTTTGCATGTGTGTGTTTAGGTCCAAGGTTGATGTTGAGTGTCTTTATCCTTCTCTTACCATTGTTATTGAGACAGGGTGTCTCACTAACCACAAAGTTAAGCATTTTGACTGGTCTATGTAATTAGTCACAAACAGGTGCTAAATATAAGCAAGTAATGATGTAAGTGAGGCTCAGCTTGCTCTGGGGATTCCCTGTCTCTACCTTCTGTGTGCTGGAATCACAGGCAGGTCCCCACACCCCCCTGGCTTTATTTATGTAGGTTCTAGGACTTGGGTCCTCACTCATGTGTGTCTTGTAGGTGCCTTACCCACTGAATCAATCACCCAGTCCTACGATCTACATTTAAGAAAAATGAAGGCAAGACATAGAATAACTTGTTAAAATTTTTACTTCCTCAAAAATAACTAGGGATTGAAAACAAAGCCAAAAGAATCACTTGTGTAATTAGAGTCACAAATAAGCACCATTTATTGAAGTTAACTATAAGCAAACAATGTTATCAGTAAGCCTCAGTTTCTCCCAGGAAGTGGGAAAAAAGGAGGCCCACTTCACTTAGGGCTCTCATGAGAATTCAAGGAGACTGTGTAAAAAGAGTGGGGTTGGAGAGGTGGCTCAGCAGTTAAAGAGTATTGACTGCTCTTGCAGAGGACCCAGGTTTGATTCCCAGCACCTACATGGCAGATAACAACCATTCATAACTCCAGTTCTAGGGGATCCAATGCCCTCTTCTGACCTCTGTAAACACATGCAGGCAATACACTCATACACAAAAAATAAAAAAAATTTCAAAAGAATGCAGTACTACGACTGGCCAATAACAAGCACCTGAAGGCTATCATCACTATCTTGATATTTTAATGAGGACTGTATTAAATCTGCAGATCACTTTGGGTAGAATCTTCATCAGTAGCATAATCATTTGGAAAAACCTGAACAAATTAGTGTCTGGATTAGTTTATCTCTGAACTGCAGACAAAAAATACATACACCAGGGGCTGGAGAGATGACTAAGCAGTTAAGAGCACTGGCTGTTGTTGCAGAGATCTGGGTTTGGTGCCCAGAACCCAACATAGCAGCTAACAACCATCAATAACTCCAGTTCTACAGGATCCAATGCCCTCTTGTGGCCTCTTGGGGCACTGCATGTACATGGTGCACTTACAAACAGGCAGGTAAAACAATCATTGGCAAAAAATTTTTTAAATTTTAAAAGTATACCATGCAATGATCCTAAGAACTTCATGACATGACTCAGTACAGTTCCTGGTATATGATAATAGTCAAAACACTTAGCTATTACATTTCAACATGGACCTAGATAAGTTATAATATTTGCATACAATCAAGTATTTTGCTGAAGGATAGCTAAGGGCAATAAAAAATTGGCCATAAGTGGCTAGGTCTACAAAGTCATCTATACTGCATTTACTAAAACTCTCCCTTTTTGTGTATGGATCTGGGAACAGTAGTGCAAGCCTGTAATCCCAGCACTTAGCAAGATTCCAAGTATGAGACAAGCCTGTGCTATGTGAGATCCTAACTACGCACTCTCCAAAAAATATTATGAGCTGGGCGTGGTGGCGCAAGCCTCTAATCCCTGCACTTGGGAGGCAGAGGCAGGTGTATCTCTCTGAGTTCAAGGCCAGCCTGGTCTACATAGGGAGTTCCAGGTCAGCTGGGGCTATAGGAGACCCTGTCTCAGACAAAAAAAAAAAAATCATTAATAGAAATGAGAGCAAGAATATATTCCAAGATATACAACTTGTGGATCCAGGAACTCAGTTAAAGTCAAGACCACACCTTACCATCCTGGAAAAAAATTATGTGTATGAGTGCTTTCTCTGCATGTATGTAAGTGCACCAGGTATGCAATGCCTGTGGAGGCCAGAAGGGCCACTGTAATCCCCTGGAACTGGAGTTACGGATTGTTGTTAGCTGCCATGTAGGTGCCAGGAATTGAACCCAGGTCCTCTACAAGA